AAGATGCTGCTAAATGACAGTTCTGTGAAATGAAAGAGGTGATTATTTTACTGTATGTTTGTTACAGCAATTCTCATTGGACGAGCATAATGTTTATGACCTTTGTTTACGACCTTTGTTTAACAGCATTCCAAGATTACTATAGATTTGTGACCAACAATTAAAAATCAAAATCTCTGACCCAAAAAAAAAAACTAATGTAAACATATGACTAGAAAACCGACCTGCAGGAAGACCCAGTCTCCATTCTGTATAGCACTTTTGATCATTTTCTCCGCCACTGGACCTTGACCTTGACCCAGTGAGATGGACTGGACCCTGAAATTGATACAAATCTGTCATAAATATATGTGAATGTGATATAATTTTAATTATGAAGTTTAAAGAAAATAAAAAAAAAAACAACAAACAAACAAACAAGAGGGCCATGATGGCCCTGAGGTCGCTCACCTATATATAGCCCCCCCACCCCCCGGGCCAATTTTTACCCAATGGCTTTTATTTGTTTATTTGAACAGACTTGGTAGACACCCATAAGAAGATGTTTCATGCTAAACATCTAAGTTCTAGCTCATTGGGTTTTTAAAAGATTATTTTTTAAGTTTTTACTATACACATATAGTTAAAAACAATGACACCCCTGGGGCAGGGCCAGTTTTGACCCCCGGGTTTTTATTTGAACAAACTTTGTAGATATTTACTTAAAGATGTTTCATGCTAAATATCTAAACTCTAGCTATTTGGGTTTATTCAAAGAAGATTTTTAAGTTTTGCTTTACACATATAAGGAAAATCAATGACCCCCGGGCGGGCCAGTTTTGACCCCAGGGCTTTTATTTGAACAAACTTGGTAGACACTCACTAGAAGATGTTTCTTGCCAAATATCTTAGCTCTAGCTCTTTGGGTTCTTTAAAAGAAGATTTTTTAAGTTTTTACTATATGCATATTGGGAAAATCTATGACCCCCTGGGGCAGGGCCAATTTTGACCTCAGGGCTTTTATTTGAACAAACTTGGTAGACACTCATTAGAAGATGTTTCATGCTAAATATCTTAGCTCTAGCTCTTTGGGTTCTTTAAAAGAAGATTTTTTAAGTTTTTACTATATGCATATAGGGAAAATCAATTACCCCCTGGGGCGGGGCCAATTTTGACCCTAGGGCTTTTATTTGAACAAACTTAGTAGACACTCACTAGAAGATGTTTCATGCCAAATATCTTAGCTCTAGCTCATTACAGTTCTTTAAAAGAAGATTTTTTAAGTTTTTACTATATGCATATAGGAAAATCATTGACCCCCCGGGCCGGGGCCAATTTTGACCCCAGGGCTTTTATTTGAACAAACTTGGTAGACACTTACTAGAATATGTTTCATGCCAAATATCTTAGCTCTAGCTCTTTGGGTTCTTTAAAAGAAGATTTTAAGTTTTTACTATATGCATATAGGGAAAATCAATGACCCCCCGGGGCGGGGCCAATTTTGACCCCAGGGCTTTTATTTGAACAAACTTGGAAGACACTCATGCCAAATATCTAAGCTCTAGCTCTTACAGTTCTTCAAAAGAAGATTTTTTAAGTTTTTACTATATGCATATAGGAAAATCAATGACCCCCCGGGGCAGGGCCAATTTTGACCCCAGGGCTTTTATTTGAACAAACTTGGTAGACACTCACTAGAAGATGTTTCATGCCAAATATCTTAGCTCTTGCTCTTTGGATTCTTTAAAAGAAGATTTTTTAAGTTTGTACTATATGCATATAGGGAAAATCTATGACCCCCTAGGGCAGGGCCAGTTTTGACCCCAGGGCTTTTATTTGAACAAACTTGGTAGACACTCACTAGAAGATGTTTCATGCCAAATATCTTAGCTCTAGCTCTTTTGGTTATTTAAAAGAAGATTTTTTAAGTTTTTACTATATGCATATAGGGAAAATCAATGACCCCCTGGGGCGGGGCCAATTTTGACCCCAGGGCTTTTATATGAACAAACTTGGTAGACTCTCATTAGAAGATGTTTCATGCCAAATATCTAAGCTCTAGCTCTTAGGGTTGCTTAAAAGATATATTTAAAGATTTTTCTTTCGGTTGCCATGGCAACCAGAGTTTTGCATGGAATTAAATTCTTTGAACAATTTTTAAAGGTGACCACCAAAGGAACATTTCTGTGAAGTTTGGATGAAATTGGCTTAGTGGTTTATGAGGAGATGTCATTTAAAGCAAAAGTTTACGTACGGACGACGGACGGACGACGGACGGACGGATGCCGGACGAAAAGCGATCACAAAAGCTCACCCTGTCACTTTGTGACAGGTGAGCTAAAAACAAATGGCAGTTTAAATAAGCAAGACCAGGGGAAATCATATATTTACAATGACTTATTTTGTGAAAATAACCTGGACCTTTGGTTCTTAGTCATTTTGATGGTCTCTCTCTTTTTTTAATCAAAACAAACCATAATGGATGAGACTAAAAAAAAAACTTAAAAAAAAATACAGAACAATATGACTCTTTTTTCATTTTAAAGGACTACATGTTGTTTAATTTTCAGGTATTTATATGTAGATGAGATTTGTTGCAGTGGTATTTGGTAGTTAATACCCTCCACAGCATGACAGGGAGCCACCCTATGTCATTTTGTTTCATTTATTTTAACTTTTCAGCATTTCTGCTCATACCTTGAATAATTGTAAATAACAAGAAAATCTTTTTTGTGTACAATCATTCCATTATGTAAAATTATAGTGGTGAGGAAACATGTATCAAATAAACAAACTATTTAAAGTAAAGTAAGTAAATCGAATCCCCCCCCCCCCCAAAAAAAAAAAAATCTTTATCTCTTTATAATTATCTCAAAGACTCGAACTTTTGACTTACTTATCAGTGTTACCGGTCTCTCTTGCAAATCTAAGGAAAGCTCCCATAGGATCTGAGCCCGTGCTCAGCACAAACACAAGTGGCGCCACCTTGGTCATGTCATTATACAGGGTTTGTAATGCAACATTTGGACTCTCAACAAACTGATTGCCCAAGTTTTCTCTCACAAAGTCTGTTGTTCCAAATATAGTTTTTTCTTCCTTGAATACTTTAATGAACATAAGTTTCTGGAAACTTGTCAGTCTCTTGTCCCAGTGACCTTTCACTGTGCCATCATCTATTATTTCTTGATCTTCAGCAGCATCTGGTGCATCTGGCTCAGGCCCATAACTTTCATCTGTTTCAGGGTTTCCTCTTATCTATAAATAGATTATAAGTCTATATATAGGCAGGAATTCTAAAAATAGACTTTGATCAATATATAAATAGGACAAAAATAAAAAAATAAAGGGCAGACATTTATAAATAGATCAAACCTGCAGTGAATAAACCATAGGCAAATGACTAATGAATAAAAGTATACAAACCAAATTTTCTCCTAATTGGACCCAGCAAGGAGTTTTTGTTAAGTCATTGTAAATTCCACGGAAAGCCGGTAGCGAGTCACTAAGGTCACAAGCCGAGTTCCACACTTGCCTACTGATCCAAGGTACACTTGGTTTTGGTGGACGCTGCTTATCAAGACCTGAATGGGAAACAAAACCATCATTAGATGTTAACTCAGACATAAGGAGTACTAGTATTGTAAGTTGCGGTATGGCCGAGAGTTTGTTTGTTTGTTTTGGGTTTTACGTCACATCGACACAGTATAGGTCATATCGCTACGATCTAGCTTTACTGGTGGAGGAAGACCTCAGGTGCCCCTCTGTGCATTATTTCAGGCACGAACGGGCACCTGAGTAGAACCACCGATGTTCCGTAAGCTAGCTGGATGGCCGAGAGGATAACACCTTAGGCAAGCAATTATTGCTGGCTGCGCAGGTTCAAACCCATTCAAAAGCAATGTGTTGTTTAAGGAAGAAACTTTACAACCATTGCTTAATACTGGTTTATTCCAGGAATTTATTCAAAAGTATGCCTCATAGCTTCCTAGCAGACTAAAATGAAATTAATTTTGTATGAACTAATGAACTAATATAGAAGTTTAGCATATCATTAGTGATAGTAATGGATATAAAATCACATTTTGCTCAAAAAATGAATAATTATTTACTTCTTTACTAGAAGTGTCAAACATGAGTTTTATAATGTTTAAATAACGGTTTTAGAGCATGTAAGATGCTAGTTTAACCTGAAGGAAATAGTCCTAAATGTAAAATAATATGTCATAAATGTAGCAAAGTGTAAACAATGTTGTATTTTCACTTCCATACAAAATACTAAATCACCATATTACATGAATTAATTTCCAAAAAGAAACTGAAGGAAAAAGACAGTTCAGGTACTTGGCAAATGAGTAACTTGTTGCAAACTATAAATGAAGACCAAAAATAAACAGATTTTGAGAAATAAAAATGACAGCATAATGGGCCTTTAATTTATACATATCTCTAGTTAATGATAGTGTTTTAAAAATTCTTCCTAATAAGTTTATATCTATAAAGACAAGTAGAGTTATAACCAAATTATAGATAATAGCACAAAAATTTGACATATAAAAATGCTCTGTGAAAAGCTGACATAATAATTACAAAGAAGACAGTTTTACCACTGGTTAAAACATCAATATTGGTGATCTTGTGATTTGAAGATAGAGACAACTTGGGACAATAAAAGTAATGGGGTCAGATGTTTTCATATGTATTGCTTTTTTGTTGATGTTTATTTTAATATATTTTCATACATGCCATAATTTATAGGCATACTTTAATTAACTTGACAATAAGATTGCATAAAATGTATTATTATTATAAATTCCTGCTACAAAGGAGATTATTTACCGGGACATAAATCATCTCTGGGACAGTCCCCAAATTTCCGGGACAGTCCCTGAAGTCTGGAGTATTATGGCAAGGAGATTTTTTAAGATTTTTATTTTTACCAGGATATAAATCATCTCCGGGACAGTCACCTGATTTCCGGGACAGTCCTTGACATCCGGAGTATTATGACAAGAAGATTATTTCAAATTTTATTTTTACCAATGACATAAATCATCTCTGGGACACTTCTAGTACAGTCACCTGATTTTCAGGACACAACCCATAATTTGTGACATTATTGCATGTATGATACTCTTTGTTTTTCGTTTTGCTATGTAAACAGGAATTAAAGTTTTATAAAAAAACATTAACTCAAAATGCTGCAAAACATCTACATGATCAACTAATGGAACGTTGAAAATTAAATTAAATCAAAATTTTATTTTTTTTGGTAAAGAATGGAACAAACAATAACATTGAAGATGGAAAGAACAATAAACAATTGAAACATTTAATATAACAAGTTATTTCTTAACCTTCTGCTGAAGCTGCAAATGAATTTATACAAACAAATCACATAAGAATAGAACCAGATACAAAATAAGAAAATCTGACTTTTGGCCAAGTCTGAACAGGTTTTTACTGTAATGACAACACTTTTTGATGAGTTATCAAATAGGCTCTTTGTCCTAAACTCTTTAGATATGTTTTAAATAGCAAATTGTAATAGAATGAGTTACTAACATTATTTTGAGTTTATATATTTTTACCATATTTTCTTATGGTAGGGTTTTAAATAAAATAGACAAAGTAAAAGGTCATAAGGCAAATAGCCAGCTTTTACTGGTGGAGGAAGTTATCCGTTAGGCATGCATCATTTTATGCATAAGTGGACACCTTAGAGGACCACAAATCTTAAATTAGCTATATATCTTTCTGACATGAAAAAATACAAAGTCCCTGGTAACTCAGATAAAGCTTTATAACTTTCAGACCTGTTTTTAGTGGCTTATGGAATAATTCTAGTTAGGTCAACCTACCTGCGGCACCACGTAGGAAGAAGTTCCACTCCGGGACAGAGATTTCTTCCGCGTTTCTCATTATCTCAACACACAACATGAACGAGAACACAAGTTTGTCCTTCTCAAATAAACCTCTGAAATACACAACCAAATCAATTACAATACATGTACAGTCAAACTTTGATCGCCCAAACTCTGATCCCTCCAATACCTCCCTTTGCTGGAATTCATTGCCCAGTCCTCGAAAAATTCCTAAATACAAACATGTAATATATATTGTTCTACCTTGGATCACTCCTACACCGATTGGGAATTTCAGCGATGTTTTGTTAAAATTTGGGGAAAATTGCATGACTTAAATTTTGCAGTGATTAAATGAATGCCTGTCTAGAAAGGCATCTTCAAACTATTAAACACCGTAACAGTGAAGAAGTCCTTATTTTCCAAGATTTTAGAATTTGTTTTAAAAATATTTTTATTGGGAATTTTTGTCTAGAAAGGCATCTTCAAACTATTTAACACTGTAACAGTGAAGAAGTCCTTATTTTCCAAGATTTTAGAATTTGTTTTAAAAATATTTTTATTGGGAATTTTTGTCTAGAAAGGCATCTTCAAACTATTAAACACTGTAACAGTGAAGAAGTCCTTATTTTCCAAGATTTTAGAATTTGTTTTAAAAATATCTTTATTGGGAATTTTTTCCTGTGGATTGGGAAAATAATATACTATATCAAATTGGGAATATGACCGAATATCTGCTATAAAATAAGGCAAAAAAAAATCCCTGCGATCACATATATATCATATATATCATAAATGAAGTAAAAATTCAGGCTTTGGAAATTCAAGTTATCATTATAGAGTCATTACAAATTCATTTTTTTCCTGAATTTCTTCTTACTGTGGAATAGTCATGCATAAAAAATCTATTTGAGGGTGGTTTGCCAAAGAGAAAGCCATTAATTGAAATTTACCTTGCCACATTCTGGTATATAGAGAGGGTGGTTTCCCGCAGACATATCTCCAACCTCTTCTCAAGGTCGGGATTTTTCTCGCTGTTCTCTATTGTCTGGTTAAACAGCTGGAAATATACAATAAAAAAGAATCAGTCACTGTTTTTAGAATATATTTCTAGTCAGGTCTTGTCAAAAAAACCTCAGTGGAGTCCCTTTAAAGATAAGTTACCACAAATCAACACAACATATAATTTGCAAATTGTATTGACTGATAACTAGAAAACAAGGTCAGTGACTGCCATTTTATTTTTCACTTTAAATGTTCCTTTTATTGTATTCTTAAATCATTGTGATGAAAAGTTTAAATAAGATTCTATTTTTGAATCTGCTATATGTCTTTATATAACGTTAGCAAGGTCTTCAAAATTTTAACAGGCTGTTCCAAATATGTAACTTACAGTTTTAAATTTATTTCAAAAGAAAAAACGGGGTAAAATGGGATCAAACGCCTCCCATTTTCGGCGCAAAAAAAGTAAAATGACCGAGCCTCTTTTGAGCTAAAACCCAAAAAATACTTCTCCTTTTCCCGATTTAAACCCTTTCTCCTCTTCGGTTTAACCCCCTGGGGGCCAATCTCTGCTATGATCCCGAGTTTGTTACCTTAGCAACCAAAAAAAAAAAAAGATCATTTGAAAAAAAAAAAAAAATTTTTTTCCAAAAAAAAATAATGGGCCTTTATTACTTAAATACGGGCCAAGGGAGATGGGAAAATTTTCCCTTTTTAAATTTAAAATTTTTTCATAAAAATTTTGATAAAGACAGCAACACCCAAGAAACCTTGGGAAATTAATTTAAAAAAGAAAGGTGCCCTTTAAATTTGCTAAAAAAAATTGGAAATTGGTCCTTTTCCATTGGTTATGGGGGACATCAGTAAAATGTTTAACTGTCTACCTAAGTGTTCAATCCATAGGTCAATAAAAATGCACTTTTTCTACATATTTTTAGAATTATTGCTGACCTCTTTCAAAGGGGATTCTTGCAGTGACCTTGAACGAACTTGGGTGAAAATCATCTCAAAATATTTATTTCAAATGTTTAATGATGATTTGCCAATTTGTTAAATATAAGTTGTTATCTATTTTATCTATTTTAAGTGACATTGTGACATTTTAAGAATTTGATAAAAACAAAACTTAGATTAGGCAAAAACTTTTCGAAAATGTTTACCTTAGAATCATTCAATGTGTTAATGAGCTCCTCATTGTCTAAGATGTTTCCCTCAGATTCAAACAGGAGCTTGAGAATTCTGTCTTCTATAGCCTTCAGCTGGTTCTTGTCAGCATTGATCTTTGTGATGAGCTGGTTCCTCTGTTCTTCAAGGTCAGGACGTTCCAAGCTTACCACTTCACTACAAGTGTTTGAAGAATCAAAATACAAAAATTGAGCCACCAATGGTATAAAGCCTGGTTAGAATGCATATAATGATCAGCAACCTTTCTACACAATTTTATTTAAGGATGGAGAAAAATATCAGATTTAAGAAGGTACTGAGTGTCTCACATTAAAAAAATATATACAAAAGGAAACAAATATGAAAAAATTCAATATGAATAACAAAAATTTAACTACCAAAAGTATATTGGGCATATAATGATTGGCAACCTTTGTACATAAATTAAAGAATGGGGTAAATAACAGATTTGAGAAGGTTACCGAATGTGTCTCACATTAAGAAAATTATATACCAAGGGAAACAAATACGAAACTGAAAGAAAAACCATCTAAAAACTTGTCACCACTAAGCCAAAATAGACTTTCTGGGATATTTTCTGGGTAAAATATCATTACCATAAAACTTAATAAAACTGCACACCAGTCTAAACTTCTGGATGATCTGATGGGTTGGCTCAACTTGCAAATTTTAAATTGACCAATAGAATCAGTGCCATTCCCTAGACTGGTTTCTTTATATTCAAATTTTACCAATATGGACTGAATATTTAAAATGATGAAATTACCTGAGTAACTGATCCTCCAGACCAGATTTGGTGACAGTAAAGTTAATGATGGTCACTTTAATGCAGACTTCAGGTAGATAATGAGGATTGGACATCTTCGTGGTCATGTAGAACTTGAAGTTCTTATCATAGTCAATGTCGCTATCACCAAGTCGGATCAGTAATCTACCACCCTGTAACGTGTAAATTGTACATGATGAGTATAATATTATCCTATACAATGTCAATTATAAAGCAATTATACTTAAAAACTACATGAATGTTGGGCGTATCTTTAAAAAGCTAAGCTTATTTGTTATAGCTACAATGTACATATACCGGGGTATGTCTCTAAAGTTTGCCTTTATCTTCAATCCTGTATCAAATATCTTTTACCCATTTGCTTATATCTATTACCTTTTTGTTTATATCTATTACCCCTTTTGCTTATATCTATTACCCTTTTGCTTACATATTACACTTTTGCTTAAATATTTTACACTTTTGCTTATATCTAATACCCTTTTGCTTATATCTATAACCCTTTAGTTTATGTATATTACCCTTTTGCTTATATCTATTACCCCTTTGCTCATATATCTATGAATCCCTAAAGAAAGCCAAAAACGGGAAAATTATAATGTTGCAGGCTCGGTTTGATTAAGCCTGTTCATGGACAGTACTGTCAACTGCAAACTGCCGTCCACACCCCCTAGCACTGGCTTAAGCAGAATTCAACATTTAAACATTAAATGGTAAATTTTCAATTCAGAAACATCTGCAGATGTGTTCAGTACTAGGCAGCATGTACAGGGAAGTGTATCCATATTTATGATGGTATTGATTAAAACATATACCCATTATCACTCCCTTCACTCACCTGCATGAAAGTCTGCTTCAACAAGACTGGTTCCAGGGCCGGGTCAAGGAATTCACCCAAATCCTCACAAAGTACCGGCATACCTATACGGATACAGTTTTCCAGTGTTCTCAAGAAATTACCATCAGTCAGCTTGATGATCTTCAAACCATTCTTGTTCTCCATGTTTCTGATCCATCTGTTTGCCTGAAGTAAAAATACACAAAAACATCTTTAGAAAAAACTGATACTTAAATAAAATTCAGTCAAACTTCTTGTGAATAATATTTCTTACTCTTTAGCCTTCTGTACTTGTGAAATGGACTCCTGCTTTGAAAATGGGACAATCAATTTTAAGTTTAAGGGGTATCGTATCATTCTGTATTAGAATGTAAAAATTGAGTAATCACCATGCTTCATGGATTTCCTCTGCTTTGGATATAGAATAGTCCATTTGAAGTTTAATGGGATTTTAGAAAAGGAATGGGATCATAAGTGCCTAAACCTGTCACAAAAACCATGAACATTAGCTTTCCTTTTCTATCAAATGTAGAACAGTATTACATTTGTTTAGAAATTACCTACAAATAATGACCACTTTTTCATTCAGACTGGTCTTAATATAAAGGTATTTATCTAAAAAGATTGATAGTTTTTTCATCACCTTACTGTATAAACTTTATAATTCTAAAGTCAATGTGGGTGAGGGTCGTTATATACATTATGATGTTGAAAGTGTTTAAAATAACAAAGATTAGATTCAAATTCAAATGTGCAATTACGCACAATTTACAGAGTTAAAAGTGTTAACATTCCAACCTGCTCCTGTGGATCAATCATAAGTGGCCATCGTCGCCCTCTTGTAACTAGGATAGCATTTTCAGTCGAGACCTGATCTTTCGGCAGACCGTCGGTGTTCCACTGTCTTATCTCGTAGTTATCTGCCAGCACGCTTGTTATCGTCATACCCTGCGTTACCGGGATATCCAGTTCTTTACATCGCTGTATCCAGTTCTCTACGAGCTCGTGACGATACACGCTGGTAAACGCGCCGTAATACGCTACACAAGCTGCACCCACAAACACGTCGCCTGTCACATTGCCAATCTCAATATTGAATTTCTACAAAACAAGGAAAATTTTTACAGAAATTATAAATTTAAATTAACTTCTTAAACAAGTATACTTTGATATCAATGTAAGAAAAACACAAAAACGAAAATAACTTATTTCAAGAACAAAAAAAAACAACATGTTTTTATTTATACATTCATGAGAAATATCTGGATAAAAATGATCTCAGGAAGCATTAAAAATAGCAAAAATTACATGAAAATTGCAGATTCGGTTTGATTGAGTCTGTACATGAGGGTTAATGAAAAAGTGCAACATCCCTCACGCTCCCTAGCACCGGCTTGAGTGGTACTCAATTCTCAACACTTATTGAAAGAGCTGGACTCAATTATCCCGACAAAGCCATCCTAAAAGCTTAACTTTTTCTTTTGGACAGATAAGATATTAAGAATAAAAACTGACAGTTCCGACAGTGGTATCAGGACAAGTAAATTTAAGAACACTTACGTCGACTGTCTCACCCCACCTGACTTGTTCGTCACCTAGAGCAGTCGTAAGTTTGGCCGCTCTCTTCAATCGAGCTGCGGTAGTCGAGATGTTTCTCTCTAGTTTTTGTTTCTCAGCCATGCTGTCATCGTACGTCTTCTGCAGCTCGGCGATCTTCGCCTCGACTTCTGCGAGTTTCGCCTGTTTCTCACGTAACATTGTCATCACAGCATCTAACTCGGCCTGGGCTGTAGCTAACCTAAAATATCGAACAATTATAAAATTATATATCTTGCTCACTTCCAGTGATAAACAGCTCAGCTTGTTAAATAAAGGTTTGTCATTATTAAAATACTGAGAAAAGAACTAAAAGAATTCTTGCAGCAATGGTGGAAGGTTTTTTTAGTTTTGGAACAACACAGTGCTTTTATAGAAACTTGGGATAAGTATTTTGTTAACGATATTTAACAGTTTGCTTATTTATGAATTACTTACTGCTAGTTTGTTCACAAATTCTGAAATCATCATTTTATAGTCTTATCTAAACTTTAGATATAATGCAAAATTAAAGGTTTTTTCAGTGTCTATTCTAAGAGGGGGGATGGGGGATTCACTCATATTTTTTAGAATTCCCCTCTATTTTTTCCAAGGCAAGGGGGAAATTTTACAAAGAGAAAGAAGGAAAAAGATCAACAAATGCAATAAATTCTCACTTTTTGATAAAAATCCCCCCTGATTATTGAATCCTAGAATAGACACTGTTTATCAACATAAAGTTATTATTAAATTATAGTCTGTTTCACTTACTTTTGCCGTTTAGGTTCAACTGTTCTGTATACATGGGCATAAGTGTCCATAGCTCTTACCCACATACACATAGATCTGCACGCCTAGAAATAACATAAAAATATACAAGTTAGATAACTCACCCACACTTTAAGTTGTCCTTTCTTTATGAAGAATATAAAGGATATTTGTTTAATTCAGTGTAAGATCAGAATATATTTCACGGAGTGAGCACCATAAGGTATATAGCCATGAGTGAAATATAAACTTTTGGTATTCACGAGGTGAAATATATTTCGATCTTACACTGAACTAAACAAATTTTCTTTTTATTATATGCAAAGAAACGTTTAAACAGACATTTTAATCTAATACTAAATGATAAGCGTGCAACATCATTATAATTATATTAGGTACACCTTGTTTCTATTTTTCTGTAATAAATATCAACCAGAAATGAAACTTTTAGTTACTGAATAAAAGATTCAATTTTTCCTTTGACAAATTAAATGTTTTCAGATGTTGTAAACTTAACATACAGGACTGTCATTCAAATCACATTCAACATACAAGTATATACATGAATATAGCACACTGGTGTATTATAAGAATATAGCCAATTGTACCTTTGACACTTTGGCCACTTCCTCAGGAATGAATTTTGGATTCTCAATGTATTTCTTCAGTTTCTTAAGAATACTCTCACCAATATTGTCCTTGTCATATTCATAAAGTTTCTTCAAGAAGTTAGCATCTCCTAACATAGCTTTAGCTGATGCCCAATCCGTCCTGAAATAGTAATTACCAGTGAACATTTATCAATATAAATAATGTCATCAAATGTCCAATCCGTCCTGAAAAAGTAATTACCAAGTGAACATTTATCAATATAAATAATGTCATCGAATGTCCAATCCGTCCTGAAAAAGTAATTACCAAGTGAACATTTATCAATATAAATAATGTCATCGAATGTCCAATCCGTCCTGAAAAAGTAATTACCAAGTGAACATTTATCAATATAAATAATGTCATCGAATGTCCAATCCGTCCTGAAAAAGTAATTACCAAGTGAACATTTATCAATATAAATAATGTCATCGAATGTCCAATCCGTCCTGAAAAAGTAATTACCAGTGAACATTTATCAATATAAATAATGTCATCGAATGTCCAATCCGTCCTGAAAAAGTAATTACCAAGTGAACATTTATCAATATAAATAGCATCATTGAATGTACAAGCCGTCCTGAAAAAGTAATTTGTGCAGCCTAAGACAACAAAGATCACAGTACAATATCCACATATTGCCATATTTTCTTTAATATTTATCTTTTTTTATTAAATTATGCATTAATGCAATTTTAATTAAACAACACGCTGTGACAATACAAAAAAGGTTTTCACACTTTTACAAGGATTGAAAAGTTGTGTAAAGTAGTAAAGTATATGACATAAGCAACTCAGCCATAAATTCCCCGTTGATTGGTGGTATTAAAATTAGGCTAAGTAACTTACTTTTGTCCGAGAAGAATACACACGGACTCCATCACTGTTTGTACCATTTCAGGAGGTTTGCTGAACACTTTGATTTCAGAGATATCGCTCTTGTCCAAGGCGTCTAAAGCTTTAATGGCCGCCTCCAGTACGGGTATGGCCTCATCAAGATCACGCTGCGCATCATCTGCGATAGCTTGAGTCTCTTCTGCTTTCACCTTGGCAACGGCCTCGTCTTCCATGACAACTTTACGTACCTGAAGTTATTCAGTAAGATAATAACTACCATTGATACTTTACCATTCTAAGTGTTAAGCATGTACCATGATTTAGCATCATTAAATGGGACTCAATTGGAGACTTTATATAAATTAATTTCTGTGAATTCACTTAATTTCATGGACATGCAACTTTATGGTTTTGTCACAAAGAACATTTTCATGGGTGCTAAAACTCCTAAACTGTTTATTTTTCCAAAGGTAAAATGTATTTAATGTAATGCAAAAAATCTACAGCTGACAAAATGAAATTTCGTTGGATTCTATGTTTGTAAATTAACCTTTTCACGAAAAAAAAAACACACACAAAAATAAGCGCCCCACGAATAATAATGATTTTGCACAAAGTTGGCGTTGCAGACCAAACTATTGACATCTGTATATTAACTGTTTACGACTCAAAAAATTTCATCAACAATAAAATATTAATTACCGCGTCAGCTTTTTCTTGATCAACGACCAGACGTTCCATAAGATTATTTGTATCTTCCGACTTTTTCTTAAGTTCTGGTTCAAGGGCCACTAACTCCTTCTTCATCTTGTCGACGAGTTCATTGGTCTCCAACAGTTTGATCAGACCATTGTGTACACGATCCTTTGCCATTTTCAGTTGTCTGAAGTAGTAATAGTGAAATAGAAAATATTTTAATTCTTTTCTGAAATAGTAATGGGAAATAGAAAATATTTTAATTCTTGTCTGAAATAGTAATAGTGAAATAGAAAATATTTATGGATTTAATGATTAATTGATATGTAAATAAAGGTTTCAGTGACACTACTTTTTTTTCTTTTACTTAGAGTGTATAAGCCTTTAAATGGAGGTATCACAAAACAGGGGTAGTTAGCATTAATTTATAGATTGATGACTACATTGTATTAAAATATAAGTAGTCATCTATTACATCATCAGTACTTTCCTAAAAACAGTGAAGACTGACAACTCAAGACCTCAAGGAAGGTCAAAACTGATAGATAATAAGATAATATCATCATCCCTTATGACGACATGAAATACTCGTAATGTAGTTCACAATTAGATAACTGTATTTTAGACATAATGCTTGACTATTATCATTGCTTGACAGTAAGAAAAAAGGGGCATAACTCTATAAAAGGGTTAATCAGCCTATGAGACCTGCCCCAGTCAAACATACAATAATCACATAACCTAAGATCCCTTGCTTGAGAGGAGGACACCTCTAACACACGGAACTAACCTTACCTTTTTAATGATGTCATAGGACAAATCAAGATTTACTACACAATCAACATTACCAGTACCAACAACATCTTGGCTATAGGTTTAAAAGGCAGTCACAAGTTTAACCACTTGAATACCTGTCCCCCAAAATATACTTACTTTGTTTTTTCTTGCAACATGGACAAGTATAAATTGATCAGTTCAAGGTAACTTGTAGGTGTGGTGTAGTACTTTCTCTTCAATTCATTGAAGAATCTGTCCGCCATGTCCGTCACGCTTGTGTGTATCTCCACACACATCTCTGCAATACTTTGCTGAAATAACAATAAACACACACATATATATATGTAACTGACATAACAATAAACACACATATGTAACTGACATAACAATAAACACACATATGTAACTGACATAACAATAAACACACATATGTAACTGACATAACAATAAACACACATATGTAACTGAAATAACAATAAACACACATATGTAACTGAAATAACAATAAACACACATATGTAACTGAAATAACAATAAACACACATATGTAACTGAAATAACAATAAACACACATATATGTAACTGAAATAACAATAAACACACATGTGTAACTGAAATAACAATAAACACACATATATGTAACTGAAATAATAATAAACACACATATGTAACTGAAATAACAAAATACACACATATGTAACTGACATAACAATAAACACACATATATGTATGTAACTGAAATAACAATAAACACACAAATGTAACTGAAATAACAATAAACACACATATGTAACTGAAATAACAATAAACACACATATGTAACTGAAATAACAATAAACACACATAAATGTAACTGAAATAACAATAAAAATGTATAAATGTAACTGAAATAACAATAAAAATGTATAAATGTAACTGAAATAACAATATACATATGTAACTGAAATAACAATAAACACACATATGTAACTGAAATAACAATAAACACACATATGTAACTGAAATAACAATAAACACATATATGTAACTGAAATAACAATAAACACACATATGTAACTGAAATAACAATAAACACACATATGTAACTGAAATAACAATAAACACACATATGTAACTGAAATAAACAATAAACACACATATGTAACTGAAATAACACAATAAACACACATAATAACTGAAAAAAATAATAAACACATAAATGTAACTGAAATAACAATAAACAACCCATATATGTATGTAACTGAAATAACAATAAAAAACACACCCCATATGTAACTGAAATAACAATAAACACACATATGTAACTGAAATAACAATAAACACACATATGTAACTGAAATAATAATAAACACACATATGTAACTGAAATAAACAATAAACACACATATGTAACTGAAATAACAATAAACACACATATGTAACTGAATAACAATAAACACACATATGTAACTGAAATAACAATAAACACACATATGTAACTTGAAATAACAATAAACACACATATGTAACTGAAATAACAATAAACACACATATGTAACTGAAATAAAAACAAACACACATATGTAACTGAAATAACAATAAACACACATATGTAACTGAAATAACAATAAACACACATATGTAACTGAAATAACAATAAACACACATATGTAACTGAAATAACAATAAACACACATATATGTAACTGAAATAACAATAAACACACATAAATGTAACTGAAATAATAATAAACACACATATATGTAACTGAAATAATAATAAACACACATAAATGTAACTGAAATAACAATAAACACACATAAATGTAACTGAAATAATAATAAACACACATATATGTAACTGAAATAATAATAAACACACATAAATGTAACTGAAATAACAATAAACACACATATATGTAACTGAAATAACAATAAACACACATAAATGTAACTGAAATAATAATAAACACACATATGTAACTGAAATAACAATAAACACACATATATGTAACTGAAATAACAATAAACACACATAAATGTAACTGAAATAACAATAAACACACATATATGTAACTGAAATAACAATAAACACACATAAATGTAACTGAAATAATAATAAACACACATAAATGTAACTGAAATAATAATAAACACACATAAATGTAACTGAAATAATAATAAACACACATAAATGTAACTGAAATAATAATAAACACACATAAATGTAACTGAAATAACAATAAACACACATATATGTAACTGAAATAACAATAAACACACATAAATGTAACTGAAATAATAATAAACACACATATGTAACTGAAATAACAATAAACACACATATGTAACTGACATAACAATAAACAAACATATGTAACTGAAATAACAATAAACACACATATGTAACTGAAATAACAATAAACACACATAAATGTAACTGAAATAATAATAAACACACATAAATGTAACTGAAATAATAATAAACACACATAAATGTAACTGAAATAATAATAAACACACATAAATGTAACTGAAATAATAATAAACACACATATGTAACTGAAATAACAATAAACACACATATATGTAACTGAAATAATAATAAACACACATAAATGTAACTGAAATAATAATAAACACACATATGTAACTGAAATAAGACTGAAACAATTACACATAGAATTATGGGTAAACTGCGATACAGGATATTATAGGGGCCTGAATTCCACCCCTCATTTTTACTTTAATAATAATAACAAAAACCTTACGAACAAATGAACTTTACTTAACTACAAAAAAATAACATATATTTCAAACAAACACAAACATTCTCTCATAACTGCATGTATAAAGGGCCATATCATTTTCTTGAAGTGGTAGTTTTCAAAGTTTTCACCGGTCATAATTGTAAACAATTTGAAAACACTTACCTTAAGTTCGTCTGTACCAAGTTCGACACTCTCAAAGAATGATTTAGACACGCCCAACAATGCCTCTCTCGGCCACTCAGTGAACCAGTCAATTGTACAACAGTTTACGAGTGACGGGAACATACGGCATCTGGTTCGGAATGCGTTACCGACCGGTGACATACATAATACAATATGGAGGTTATTCCTGAAATAAAAATGTTGACATACATAATACAATATGGAGATTGTTCCTGAAATAAAAATATTGACATACGTAATACAATATGGAGGTTATTCCTGAAATAAAAATGTTGACATACATAATGCAATATGGAGGTTATTCCTGAAATGAAAAGGATTGAATCAATGTTAAGTGAAAAGGTCGGAGCTAAGGACACATGTCAAAAAATGGTCACATATCCCTAGTAGCCTGCATGACATTATTAGTTATAAGACATATCATCGATATTCATCATCCGATACAATATCGATACACACTTTCAAATATCGAAACCAGCTAATATTTATTTATTTCTGTTACCTCTCTATTTTGCCTAATAAGAAAAGTCACTTTTTTTGCAAAGGACTGTTTACATACCGCCATATAACCTGTCAGAAATATTTATAACAAATTTATAAAACAGCAGGCATCATAGGATTGCTAGCCGTGTAGGTTCAAACCCCGTCATGGGCAAGTGGTTGTATCCTTGATGAAGAAACGTTACACTCATTGCTTAAAACTGGTTAGATCCAGGAACTGCTTTGAGAGTCAACAGTTTCAATAAGCTTATAGCTTCCAACACAATTAAACTAAAAAAATTTGCATAAACTAAACTTAGGTGAATTTACCTGACACGGTTAATACAGAAATCGTATATGGCATCTCTGTTGCCCTCGGGGATACCGAGTTCTTTAGCGGCACCTCTACAACCGATGATCAGCTGTTCGTACTCATCTGGTTCAAACAAGTTCGGAACTTCACCGGAATTGAGGATGTTATTAATATCTTCCAGAAATTCTTCAACCACAATCTACAAATAGATTATGTTAACGTTTTAATCATCTTGATTACATAACTACTTATATAGATGACAATGGGCTGCCAGAATTTATGCTTTAAAAATTGATGTTTATATTATACTGTTGATATACATGTAAATTAGACAAAAACATTAAAAAGACTGAGTTGATGAATTTCAAATCAAAACATAATGTACAAAATTGCAAACATTAAAACAAAAATTCTACTTAATGCCTAATTCATTGTAATAATAGTCACCTTAGTGCAATAACTGGTTAACTCCTTTTTAATTTAGAAGGACTTAACCCATTTCTGCATCCTTTTTTTCATCAGTTTCAATTCATATCTGGTGAGTAATTCAAACTAAACTAGAAATGTGTCCATAGGACACGGATGCCCCCACATGCCACTGTTCTGTCAATCTTATGACTAGGTCAAATATTTTTTGGACTACATGTGCCACAAGTTGAAAACTAAAAATCAACAAAGGGCCATAATTCTGTTAAATTTGGGTTGCAGCAAAAATTCCTTCCTTTACTACCATCTACACATTAAGGTTGTTCATCCCTGTAAGTTTAAGCAAAATCTGCCATCCGGTTTAAGAGGAGTTGCGTTCACAAGATTTCGGGATGGACGGACTGACGGACAAGTGCAACGCTATATGCTCCCACATTGTGGGGGCATAATAAGACAAATTTTCAGCTTTTCACTTTGTCGGAAAAAAAAACCCCGAAAAAAACCCAACTCAATTTGGGAAAATCCTTTTTTAAATAAGGCTACAATATTTTTTCTATGGACTTGTGACGTATTTCTTACACTGATTCTTACCTGGGTGTCAGTAAATAGGAAGACAGTGTGTTCATTTTTCACTCCTGCCATGTCGTAAAGTTTTTTAATATCATCGTGGAAGGCTGCGTAGTCGTAGCCTCTGCTTAACTCTATCTGGAAACATTTGTAACCACAAATATGGGCGCTTAATCTGTAAAATGAATAAATAAATGAATTTAGAACAAGATTCTATATTTAGAAAACATTTGAGCTGCGTCACGACAAAACCAAAATAATGCGTTTGCGACCAGCATGGATCCAGACCAGCCTGCTCATCCGCGCAGTCTGATCAGGATCCATGCTAATTTCACTTACAAACCCTATAACAAGTAGAGAAACTGATAGCGAACAGCATGGATCCCGATCAGACTGCGCGGATGCGCAGGCTTGTCTGGATCCATGCTGGGCGCAAACGAATTAAGTTGGTTTTGTCATGGTGCGGCCCATATATTCTTTTCCTTGAAAAGGGATATCCAAAACTAGTAGGTCCTAAACCCTTAACCTGCTACAGACCACAGATTCTAGACTACCCATGCGACTTGTGCAGACCATCATCAGCAGAGTCCCAGGGTATGATGTCTGATCATGGTCTGCACGCTGTTTGTTAATCAGTCAGTATATATTTTGAAAATTTTGATATTTTCCTTAAAAATTATGAGTGGTTCAGTCCAAACTAAAAGATGGAGAAGTCCATTTAAGATATTTAGAAGGGTTAGGGTTAATAAGATTTTTAAAACTTTACGTTCCAATGTTGCCCTTTACGTGTTTCTCTCATATTAATTACTTTAGTTCAAATCAAAACGAATATAGGAAATAACAATATTATATGCAATATATTTTTATTTAAGCTGTGATTGCTTGTTTGTCAATATTTAATCAATGATTTTTAACACATTTTTGGTCACATCTTAAACACGGAACCACCTAGCGTATTCCTGGATAACCAACAGTGCTTACTTATTTCTTCAACTATTAATCCCTTGTGCTTTCTGAATCAGCATTGAGAGAAATATTCAGTAAATTTGTCTACACTCAAAATTTACTGACCTAGTTAAGGACTGTTTTCCGGTACCTCCCACACCGACCAGCAAAGCGTTACCACGTTCTTGTCGGATCATACGTGCAATACGTGACACGTGCTCCATAGCGTCCAAGAAAAACACAAGCTTCATTTCCTTAGGTGACTGCATATTGTAATCGTCCAAATACTACAAGAAACATAAACTATTTATTTACAATGTATTTAAGTTATTTATTTATCTGTATTTTACGTCTATTTCAACACACATTTGTTAATAGCCTGGAAACCACAGTCCAGCTGGTTCGCCTTTAACGTAGCCGCTTTCCTGAATAACTTAAAAATTACCAATTTCTTGCTTATAAGTACCGACTACTAAAATCCTATATGATTTTTCACACAGAACTTAACTTGATAAAACACTTAAGAATCCAAGTATATTTTCAGTAACTTCAGTAAATAAATCAATGATAAAATTCAAAAAAAAAAAGAAAAAAGAAACTTAAATGAATGTGATTTCAATTTAAACAAACATTTCAACAAAATTCATTCTTATCTTAATTGTATTTTTTGTTTTAAGGTGTATACAAAAAACACTTTCAATTGAATTTTAATTTACTTATTCTTGCGGTCTTTGCTGTTACTATAAAAGAATAAATGTAACTTCTTTTAACTTCACTTCAAAAATGCAGAAATATTTCATATTTCACTTCAGGACATGTAAACGTAACTACTAATTTTTATTGGCTTAAGCTTCAAACAGTCACAATAAGCTTTTACTATCTACAAAAAAAACTTTAGGATTGGAATTAAGTGCGTAATTACATGCTTTGGATAGTGAGTGATCCGGTTCTTACAAAAATAACATTTAATTATCAATTGTGAATATTATACTCAAACAAAATATATAAATTAAAACAAAATGTGCATTGTTTCGCCCTTTTTTTTTAAACTAAAAAGGTGTTCAACATGTTGCAAAATAAAAAAGGTGACCACAATAATTGTGCTTTTATAAATGTTGCAGGCTGCAATGCTAGTGTAAACTATAAATTATAAAGGACATGTATCCTATATGCAGGCTGATCACTATTCTTTAAGGGGTTCACAGTTACAAATAAAAACATGTTCACTATTTACCATTGATGTGTTCACAGTAACATTATTACATAAACATAAATGAGCCGTGTCACGACAAAACCAACATAATGGGTTTGCGACCAGCATGGATCCAGACCAGCCTGCGCATCCGCGCAGTCTGATCAGGATCCATGCTCTTCTCTATCAGTTTCTCGACTTGTAAAAGAGTTGGTAAGCGAACAGCATGGATCCTGATCAGACTGCACGGATGCGCAGGCTAGTCTGGATCCATGCTGGTCGCAAACCCATTATGTTGGTTTTGTCATGGCGCGGCTCAAATGTTCACTACATTTGTTCACAAATACAATATTTATCATGTTTATTGTACCTCACTTCCTTCAAACATCATACGATGCACATACTTCCATGTAAAACAATTATATAATGTTACATAGTGTAAAATATACAGTTATATAGAAAATGTTCTTTTTTCATGAACTGCCAGTAAGGTAATGGTATTTCTCTATTTCAAAAGAAATTATTCTAAAAACCACATTCTATTTTCATTGAAATTATCATACTATAGTCCTTAAACAATGTATTTTATTGATATGTAAAATTATGAGGATGAAATACATCTTATAAAGATGATGATACACAGAATTAGAAAAAACGACTACTGCAAAATCATAATTATTTGTGGGGCACTAATTAACATGTTTTTCATGGGGCACTTATTTTTTTGGGTTTTTCGTGGAGCACTATAATTTTGTGGTTTTTTGTGGGTAGGGTAGGTCAATGTCCTGCAAATTTCATCTGCTGTAAAATCATAACATTATTCACATTTCTTTTTTTAAAAACAAGACTATCCACGAGTTAAAGAATCCACGAAACTTCATGCCCACAAATTCAAATGATTTCACAGTAAATTATTATTACTTACATCTTGGAGAACATTAGCTAGTTTTTTATGGTCGGCAAACTCCTCGTACAATCTGTCGGCACGCTCCGTCCCCATCTTGATAAAGTCTCCAAACAAAATAGGATTAGTTACAAAACTATCTGGTGCTATGTCCTGGAATAATAATAAGTTCATAAATTAATTTTGAAAGCACATTAATTAAACACTTTTCAAGACAAATCAGTTAATCTTGATTTTTTATTATTCATGTTAAAATTATGTTTTCATTGAATTTTATCTTGTTTTGGTTGTGTTTTTTTTTCTTCTCAGCTTTATATTTTGTAGTTTCAATTGTAATGGAAAAATACTTAATCACTTGTTCTTTATTATAGTAAATTTAATTATATCAAAATTGTCTAAATGTTTGTTAAAGCAATTAATATGTTTGTATGGCATGAGAATTATTTATATATATAAAAATACATTTTGTATACTGATATAATGTAGTATTTACATAAAAAAAACCCACACTACTGTGCAATTCCCCTCTACCCTTAGTGATGTTTTTTTTTGCTGCTGAAAATCTTAAAGTCTGTGATTATCTAATATTCAGGGTTTATCAAAATGATGACCTAACTCGGTTTCTTACTAATAATTTGAATGTTTGCAACTACCAATATAGATACTGGACTTTGTCAACAGTTCTATAAGCTAGTCCAGCCTCTACATCCATGCTGGCTGACAGAAGTACAATGTATATTTAATAGCGCTATTGGGCCAATGACCACTTGAACAATGACCTCTTATGTGGTCATTTGACTAATTAGACCTATTGAACACTTAACCACTGCAACATTTACCTAAAGCGCCAATAGACTTACTCTGGAATAAAAAATAATTTGGGTTTTCCCACCTAATACAGGGGTATAATGAACAAACGTTTACAGTTACAGCTTCAAAACTAAGCGCAAAAGGATGTCTTATCTATTTTGAACGGTTGTGCACCGTGAAGAGTTGAAATGGTAAAATTTTATTTGTACTGGGGGGGATTAACTTGGAAAAACCCACATTCCCCGAGTTCGGGATTACAACAGTTTTCTTTTGTAAAACTACTGCTGACCAGACTCTCATACCTTTTGACTGTAAATGTTGACTCGTGTATTACAAAGAGACCTGCTTACGATAACTTTGTAAATTTATATATATATTTATTGAGTTATGCAATCAGTATGTCAAACCTTCAGTCTGTACAGGTTGATGATCTACAAACTAATATACCAAGGTTTTCATTGTTTGGTTTGGTTTTACAGCGCACTTGAACACAGTTTAGGTCATATGGTGAAGAAACACTGGAAAGACGATTCTGGCTTAAATCTCGGATATTACCAACTTCAAAGCAACAACAAAGGTCAAAACCACCTCTCTGGCTGGATATGAGATGCATGGACTCAGTTATTCAAACCCATTTAGTTGCCTCTTACAATCATGCATAAAAGGTGGCTGCAGTTCTGATGTGTCAACCCTTAAAGGCAACCCCTCAGACACAAGGCAAGACATACCAAGTAATTTTACATAAAGATACTATTACAGTACATAATAATGTTGTTTTGTTTTGTTCTAAGTCTGTAAGAATTTCTAAACTTTTTTCTTGACTATATAATGCAACATGCAAGTTAGCTCTTTCTTCTATCATTCAGGAAGCAGAATAGGTATCATTCTAAGCATGCATAGGGTCATATATAAATTATATTTAATTAACTTAAACAAAGACTCCTATGGTCGAAGTTAACTTAGACTAAAAACTAACTATTAAGAGGTGCCAAGTTTAATTCATTTAGGTCAAGATTTAACTAAAAGCTACCAAAAATGGTGCTAAGGACACATTTTTAGGTCAATCAACAAAATACTACCATAAATCAGAGCTAAGGACAATTTAATTAGGTCAAATAACGAAATACTATCATAAATGGTGCCAATTACAATTCATTTAGGTAATAATTTTAACTAAAAGCTACCATCTAAAACAGTGTTTAATGGTGTAATTCATTTAGGTCGGAGTTAACCAAAAAACTACCATAAAAGGTGCATTAAATTAAAAATATAATTTCTCTTATAATTATGTCATTTTCTAAAATTTTATCAAATAATACTAGGCTTTAAGATTAGAATCTACTCATTAAAATGAAAATAATTGCTTGATATCTTCTACAGTTAAACCTGTGTTAAAGATCACCTTAGAATAAAGACCACCCTATAAATAAAGGCCACTCTATAAATAAAGGCCACCCTATAAATAAAGACCATCCTATAAATAAAGGCCACCCTATAAATAAAGACCACCCTATAAATAAAGACCACTCTTCAACAACCCTTAAATTTGATTAACAAACAACATCAGTCTAAGTAACCTCCAAATAAAGACCACTTGTTTATAAAGGTCATATTCTTTTTCTCTCCCTTTGGTGGCCATTCTTCACAGGTTTTACTATATTACATATAAAAATAATAATCATGGATTTCAATTGTATAGTTCTAATATATTTGCTAGCTAAATGATTTTTCTACACTAAACTAAGGTTGTGAATTTATTTCCTATTGTATATCTATGATACAATATTATATAATATAAATATTATGTATATTTTATATATTATATATATTCATAATATTATATGAAAAAGTGAACTGTATATAATAAATTTGATGTGAATTCTATCTATAGAAAATATAGCCTCTAAAATACGTGTATAAACCTATACAAGTACATTTATTTATAACCATACTAGCATTATGACTATGTGTCTATATTTCATTTAATCTGGCGTACCCCTCATAGATGATTATATACATTAATGATGCAATTTTGGAGGGGAAAGATATCAATTATTTTAATGGTACAAATATCTTTATGATATCAGTTTTTAAAAAAAAATAATTCTGAAAGACTAGGAATAATTCTATGATTTAAGGCAATTTATGAGGCTATTATTATGAAAATTTTTAAGAAGTTATGGCCGGCAATCACAATGGGTATATATGAACAATTCTATGAAGTTATGGCAATTTGAAAAGCTATGAACAGTCATTTTGTTCAGGGAATCTGATCACAAATTCTTTTAACTTTGGAGTTAGGTAAATAATATTTTGAGGTAAACTTCTCCAATATGGGGGCTATAAGGTCCCTTGAATAAAAATTACAAACAAAATGTAAAAATATTATTTCAGACATAAAATGGTTCAATTTTTTTTCATAATTATAAAATTCTAATATGAAAATATAAAAGTGTAAAAATATACTTGTTTTTTTACGCAGAATAACTATATCTAGCCATTGATATTTGAAGAATGAAAATAAACAAGAACATACAAATTAAGTTAACAGAACAGAACAGAACATAAGTTTATTAATAAATTGTATGCCAACAGCATAATTTATTGATTAAACAATAATATTTTACATGTATGCATAAAAGTATGTAATGAGAGCATATACAAGAAATGAATCAATGTATCGAAGATAAATACAAAGCCTACATATATTTGATAAGATTTGAGGGATTCGGCTTTGCTATTTCTAACTATTCATATACAATTATGATAACGAAAATGTCAAACAATTGGTAATTGTTATTTCATAATTATGACACAGTATTTGAGTTAAGTATTTTAATAAACTACTTGAATTTAAGTTAACACTCGTCTATTATAAATTCAAAGTTAAAAAGGGGACATAACTCAGAACATATTGTTTTCAGAATTATGCCCCTTGTCTAACAACAGCATGTTGGTAAGTTTAGCAAGTATTCCAAGTTTCACATTGATACCTTTTTTAAAATGTTTAAATAATGGGCAACATTAAAGTCTTTGCATGATGACAACAAAAATGGCTACGACGACAATGCCGCAGTGATCATAAAAGTATGACGTTTTCTTCGAAACAGACCAGCTAAAAATGAATTTTTAAACCCTATGTGGCTACACTATTATCTACATACTATATACATACATGGTATAAAGGCATAATGTGTATGTGAATGGATAATCTAAAAGTTCAATAAAGATTGTATAACGCCCTACAACCAGTGACTTAAAGGGTGACCATTTTGTACAGCCCTCGGCAACAAAGCTGAATTTACACTTTTATATATACCCATATATATATTTTTGCTATATCTAATGCCAGTAAATCACATGGTCAAATACCACTTATCAGAAATAAAATTTGTGTCATAAACAAAATATGATCTGGAATGACATTAAGGCATTAAAATTATTATGGTTGAATATATATGGTTTAAACAACTTATCAAAAAGAAAATCTATGTCACATATAAAATGTGTTTCGGAAGGTTGTTTCTTAAATGCAATGGTATCTACTTTAGGATTGAATTGATATATATAGTTTAAATTCGAGAAGGTATATAATAAAAGTGTTATTATAAAAGTATCTTGATCTAACACTTGTGTTTGACTCTCATAACATTTTACAAGAATGAATCACACTTGGCATTTTCCGTGCCTCGTGAGACACTGCCCCCTCGTAAAATTCACTCAAGTCAAGAACATGATCCAGATCAAGACACTTGTATAACAGATCTATTTTGTATCACCCCTTTTACACTGTTTACTATGCTCACTCAAAATTTGCTCTAAATTCTTACCCGCTGTATAACACAAGAAAAAAATAAATAAAAATAAAGAGATATGATTATTGAATGTTAATAAACAAACATTTAAATATACTGAATCTACTCTTGTTTTTGTTTTTCTCATGTTAACACAATAATTTAATTTGTTTAAGCTTTATTGTTAAATGCACCAGGCCCCGTGTTAGCAAAGATTTAAGGATCAAATCTAAAATGAAATATGCAAATTTAAAAATATCACACATTTATAAACATTTATTAAACATAAATTAAAGAAAGTTTATATTAATCAACACAGCAAATAAAAGCATATTAATAAGACATAAAATATTATAATAAAATGGGCCATGTCAATTTTATAGAAGGTATTATTATATTAATATAAATCTGCTCAAAATCTGTCCAAAAAATAGTTACAGCATTACAGCTTATTATAAATCAATATAAAATTATTATATTAATTCTGATTTTTTTTCTGTTGATTTTTTTTTAAATTTTTTTGCCAAACCTGATTTCAAATTTTCATTAAATATAATTTTTTCTATGTGTATCAACATTATTATCAATATGCAACCTAAAACAAACCCATAAAATCTTTCAAACAAACCACATTTGACCTAAGAAAATATTTTCTGCCTTATTTGTTTCATAAGTTTTTTCGATAATCTTTACAACTTGAAATGAGTCAAATGACAGATTTTTGACAAAGTTATATTTATATGTTATTGGGCCTTGTGCGAAACAGTACGTACGCGTTGTACCTCATAAGACATTATATGCCATGGAGAAGGCATTTCGCACGGACTGTTTTTGCACAAAGACCACGATACGCTTCAATACTTTATTCATAAATGAAATATTTACCTCCGAAAAATGTTTTCCTGCCATTTTGAAAAGGGAAAATTTAAAAAAGAAATTTTTTGTCTTTCCTTGTTAATTTTTTTGGGAAAGTCGTTGGGAAAAACACCATAGATTCGTTTACAAACAGCCGGAACCTGTTTTTTTTATCCGAATAACGCCTTTTTTTCCCCTTGCCAAATTTTACCTTTTAAAAATTTAAAATTGTATTGGAAAATTTTTTAAAACATTTTGACTTTAAACCCTTAAACAAACCCTTTCCCAAAAACCCCAAAAAAATCCCAAAAAAAAAAGAAAAAGAAAAAAAAAATTTTTTTTATTTCTTTTATCATTTTTTAAAATTTTATTTTCTTGTTTTTAACTTTTTGAAAATCCTTTTAAAAAAATCACCTTTTTGAGGTCTAAAAAGGGTTTTAAAAGCATAAAAAACTAAAACAAATTACATTTTCTTTCCCAAAACATTACAGGTCAAAAGTTTTGGCCCAAATTTTTCCAAACTTTTGTGCCCTTTTTTTCAGGCCCCCAAAAGGCAAAATTTTGTTTAAAAAAACCCAAAAACCCTTTCATAATAAATTTAGCTAGCTGGGATAACTTTCTCAAAATAAAAGGGAAACCAAAAGATGCTGGCACGGCCCCAAACCTTTCAGTTTTCAGGGTAGGGGTTTGGGGAAAAGGGATATTTACCAAAAAAAAAAAACTTAAATCGGGCATGGACATTTTTTAAAAACAAAAAAAAAAAACTTTATTGTTCCCTTACCTTGGGAATTTCAATTTTTTGACAAATCTCTAAGGTTAAAAAAACATAGGGGAAAATTTTGCAGGTTTTTGGGGGGAAAAAATCTGTTTCTTTATTTCCGGGCCGTTTTGATCTTCTCTGCAAACAGCTTTCATAGGCTCCGTACACTGTCGGGACTTTAAGTTTTTGGGGAAATTTCCCTCAAAAAATTTTCCAAACCAAATTTTTTGCTAAAAAAAAATGTTTGGGAAAAATTAAAATATGAATTTTTTAGTTTCATAGGTTTTAAAAATGTGTTCATTACTTTGGGGCCCCCAGATGTGGGTTTCCCGCCATAATTTTTTTTCCAAATGTTTTTTTTAGGGTATGGGCGCACAGTATAACAAATGCCCCAGACAGAAGGGCAAGGGTTTAAACTCTATATGCCTCCAAAAACAAAGTCTGTTTTTTTTTTTTATTTGTTGGGGGTTTTTTTTTTTATTTAATTTTTAAAAACTTGTCTTTGGGCATTTTCTCTTGTTTTATTCACCAAATTTAAACAAAATTTTTTTTTGGGGTAAAACCCTTTCCCCGTTATTTTAAAAAGACAAGGGGGGGGGGTTTAAAAAAAACAAGATATACTTTTCCAAAATAAATAAAAATTTCATTTTTTCATTTTTACCATTTTAATAGTTTTTTTTTTAAAAAATGGGATTTTTTTTTTTTCCTTCTTTTTGAAAGAAATTTGTTAAAAAAATTTTAAAAGGCCCTTTAATAACACCATTTTTAGAAAAAAATTCCCCAAAAATTTTAAACCCATATTTGATTTTTAAAAATTTTGCCATTTAAAAATTTTAAAAATATAAAGCTTAACTTTTCTACCCAAATTTTTAAAGAATCTTTAAATTTTTAAAATTAACTATTTCCTTTCTTTTAAAAAAGAACTTAAAAAACATTACCTTCTCAAAAAGGAAAATTAACTTTTTTTTCCTACTTTTTTTTTTAAAAAAAAGAAACTTGTCAATCTTTAAAATCTAAAACAAAACCATTTTTTCATTTCCCTTTAAAAAATTTTTTTTTCTTCAGTAAGTTTTTACCCCATTTCATCCCTTGGCCCAAAGATAAAACAGTTTCTGGCCCAAAAACTTGAATGCCCAACCCTTTTAAAAGGGAAAACCCCCCCAGCCACTAGGGGTTTTATTTTAAAATTAAAATTCAAAATGATTTTTTTAGTAACTTCACCATAAAACATGTGTTTTTAAGAACTGTGCTCTGAAGGGGAAGGTATTGTCCAACATAGCAAAATGTCGGGAATAAATCTTGGTGTAGACGTTTTTTCTTCTACCACCACCAGGGGGCGCACCCAAGCTGCTGCTTAATGTCACATCCTGAAAAACAACAACCAACAACAAAATATTGATTTTTGTTCTAAAGATGTTCAAAAATTTCAGTCACTGGTTTAAACGTGAAATTATTTTCCCCTATTTGAACCTATTTGAAAACTTTAGAACTGCCACTATCATTTGGCGTGAATACCCCCGCATACCCCCTTTGTCAGAATCAATAGTGGCCATTAAGAGCCTCAAAAGGACAAACCTCCCTACCAAATGCTGAGGTTACTAAAGCAGTGCATTGCTTTAAGTTATGTATTCCTACATGCTTCAAATGTTGAAAATGTCAAAATCAATACATTGCTGAGCAGGACATTTCTTTTAGCAAATTGAAAAAAGAAGAAAAGCTTTTTTTTTTGTCAAGGTCCCTGTGACCTTGACCTTTTAACCCAGTGACCTCAAAATCAATAGGGGAGTCTTCTTAATAGTCATGATCATCATCCATGCCAAATATGAAGACTGTGGGTCAAAGGGAATCTTAAGTTAATGGGTGGAACAAAAAAACATTTTGAAGTCAAAGTCCCTTTGACCTTGACCTTTTGATCCAGTGACCATCAAAAAATCAAAGGGGTTCATCTACTAATCATGATCAACATCCATGCCAAATATGACGACTGTAGGTCAAAGGAAATCGTTATTGGGCGGACAAGTTTTTTTGAAGTCAAGCCCCTGTGACCTGACATTTGAACCTAAGTGACCTCAAAAATCAATAGGGGTCATCTACTTATCATGACTAACCTTCATGCCAAAATATGACGACTGTAGGTCAAAGGAATCTTAAGTTATTGGGCGGACAAGCTTTTTGTAGTCAAGGCCCCTGTGACCTTGACCTTTGACCTAGTGACCTCAAAATCAATAGGGGTCATCTACTAATCATGACTAACCTACATGCCAAATATGAAGACTAAGGGTCAAAGGAATCTTAAGTTATTGGGCGGACAAGCTTTTTGAAGTCAAGGCCCCTGTGACCTTGACCTTTGACCTAGTGACCTCAAAATCAATAGGGGTCATCTACTAATCATGACTAACCTCCATGCCAAATATGAAGACTAAGGGTCAAAGGAATCTTAAGTTATTTGGCGGACAAGAAAAAACCGACGGCCGGACGGACGGACGGCCGGACGGACGGACAGCCGGACGGACGGACAAGCTGATTCCAGTATACCCCCCTTACAACTTTGTTGTGCGGGGGTATAAATATAATCATATAAAGCTCAAAATATAACTTGAGAAAAATGAACTAAGAGTAAATATATTCACAATTAAATAACTAACTTGTTATATGCAATTTATGACTGATTTTACATTATTTATCACCATTCTACTGTGTTACTAATGCAGTAAGTTTTTTTGGGCTTTTTCGCATATTCTTCCCTATTTTTAGTAATTTGCATGGATTTTAAGTGCCGTCTGCAATGTATAAAATACTTTCTTTGTTCACTTGGCAATAATTTTACTTTTAAATACATTTTAACATTTTTCATGAAAAGAAGCATGAATCTGGAGGCATACTAACTGCTTTAAAATTTGTCAGTGTTTACCTAAATTATATGAAACATGACATGACAAAACCAACAAAGTGCGTTTGCGACCTGCATGGATCCAGACCCCGTACCAGCCTGCACATCTGCACAGTCTCATCAGGATCTATGTTGTTCATCTACAAACCCTATTTCAAGTAGAGAAACTGATAGGGAACATTATGGATCTTCATCAGACTGCCCAGATGCACAGGCTGGTCTGGATCCATGCTGGTCGCAAACGCACTATGTTAGTTTTGTCATGGTGCGGCTTAAATCTAATTATAGACTAATAATGAAATGGAAATCAGACTGACCTGAATTTCTCGCCAGAAGAGTACGTCTCTGTCGTAGAAACCACCAAAGTCCTGATACTGGCGGAGCAACTCTATCGGAGGCTGAGAGCCGTAGGTGTCAAGCTTAGGCATGTTCAAGTCGTCAATAAAGAATATAACTCTCTTGTCACGAGGAGCACCTGTAAAAAAATACACGTGCAGTCTGATTACAAATGTAATGGTTATAATATTTTTCAATTTAATAAGATAATCAAATACATCAGTGAAATATAAGCCATATCACATAGTTTGAAACTGAGAGAAATATAGAATGTTGGTTCCAGTTCTATATACCATGCATTTATTTTGAGTTACACCAAAATACAACACGGAATGAATAAATATTTTGATGATGTCAAATAAATTTACCATCATTTTCGTCAATATCTGACTTGAATATCAATGCAAAAGTTATAAAATGTGTGTGTTTTTTCATATATATGGCCTGTAACTCAATTCAAGGTGAGAAATTTTTTATATTGTCACTCTCACTCCTCACTCTTGAAAATATTTAAAGGCAAATTATGCCTCAGATACAAATAAATTTTTAATTCTTTAGAATGGGCAATCATGAATTTTATAATGTTTAATCAATTGTTTTAGAGAATGTTATATGTTTGTTAAATAAAAGAAAAAGTAGTGATAAATGTGAAATAATTTGTCGTCAAAGTAGGAAAATGTAAACAAAGTAATAATTTTACATCCATACAAAATACTTAATCACTATGATACTTATTGCCAAAAAGGAACAGATAATAAAATTGTTCAGGTAATTGGCTAATTGATAACTTTTGGATGGAAAAGTTAAAAAGCTTTTGAAAATAAAAATAAAAGTATTTCCAAGGCATATTGGGCCTTAAAGAATTCTCACTTTTTAGTGATATATAATGACAACATATTTACATAAACAAAACAAATCTTTTCAATATATAATTGAGTCTCGTCATGACAAAACCAACATTAGTGCGTTTGGGACCAGCATGGATCCAGACGAGCCTGTGCGTTGGGCGCAGTCTGGTCAAGATCAATGCTGTTTGCTATCAGTTTCTCTACTTGTAATAGAGTTTGTAAGCAAACAGCATGGTTCCTGATCAGACTGCACTGATGTGCAGGCTGGTCTGGATCCATGCTGGTGGCAAACGCACTATGTTGGTTTTGTCAATAGCCCGGGATATATGTATGTATATATAAAAATAAATACCAAGTACTGTTTTTCTTTTCTTCTCAAGTTTGCTCTCTATCATCTCCTGGGTACGTTTACTAGACGTCTGAGCTGAGAAGTTGATAAAGTAAGGGACATAACTCGCCTTTTCCGAGATATTGTTTAATAATCCTCTGGCGATCACAGACTGTGAAAATATAAAAAAAATATATAATTTTTAGAGCACTAAAAGCCACTTACCACTTTATCTGCAAATCAGGGCAAGTCATATACATAAAATACATAATAATCCTGCATTGATCCAATTTTATAATGTTAATAAATGTATATTACATCATTGGTAGTCCAATATTTAAAGAATTGGCCTAGATAATTCCAAATTTTACAGCAGGGATATGATCCAATACTCTTAAACAACCATTAATTATCAATTTTATTTTTAACACATAGGGGACAAGTCCAATAAAAAATACAATCGTAATAAATAAACTCAAAGTGCTAGCCTACCTTTCCGACACCAGTTCCACCAGTGTATAGTACAGGATGTCTGACAGCTAAAAGTTTCTCAAGCAGGTAACCAAACCTCACAGTATCCACAGTGGGTACCAGCATCTCAAAGAATGGGACTTCCTTATTGTATTTGAAAGATGGAACTATTTTCTCCCACATATCCATACGCTTGGTTTCAAAGTCAACAAAACAGCTCCACAAGTCTCCACCGGCCGGAAGCTACAAAATTAGCAAATTCTGTATTTTATATAATCAAAATAAAAATCAGTGTAAGCCTTATTTTTCAAAATGGCGGACAGTAATTCAAAACACTTAAAGCAACACCAGGGATCAAAACCACCTCACCTGCTAAAGCTAAGAGATACATAAATCCAGTAATTTGAACCCATTTAGTCGCCTCTTACAAATCACCCAGGGCCAAACAGTGGCTGCAATGCTAATGTTTCAGCTTAAAGGCAAACACACAGCCAAATGGGGGGAACAAAACAATATACAAGAAAAACATCTTTGAACTAAAAACCCGACACTCGGTATTCACACAACGATCGTTTGGTAGTGTCAGATGACTGAAAAGTGTGGTTACTGTGTGACAGTATGGGTTGTTAGCCTCTGATATCACATAAGGCTATAAAGTAAATAATTCATGTGAGGCATTATAAATAATACATGTATACAGTGATTTTTTTTACTTAATTGGGAAGAGGCCTTAGCCACTTGATTTGGGGAAAATTATCACTTAAATTGCTAATTTGGGAAAAATTCACTGATATAGACTTTTAATCATCAAGAAATCATTAGAAAATACAAGAACGATAACTCACCTTAGCATCCCCGTTGTCGTCAAATGTATTCCTCACGAATGTGTCAAAAGCATCCCAGTTAGATTCTACAATGTTCCCTCCAATACACCATACATAACAGAATACAAATGTTGTACATAAGAGAATGTTCAGTTTATTTGGATCCATATTAAAGTCAGGGCCTCCACGGCAGAATAACAGGGATTCCAGAAGCTTGCACAGTGTAACAACCTTGGCAATGTCCACCTTGAATAAAATATATAATATTGCATGTTTGTAACATCACTTTTCACTGGATTATTTGCGGTTGGATTAAGTAGAGGCATTTTCTATATTATCCCTTAAATATTTTTTAATTTTAGTGCCTCACTTATTCTATGTAATAATTTCAAATTTCACGTTTCTTAGGCTTTTTGACCTCAATGGAGTGCTTTTAAAATGGATTCTTAAATGTTACCATAGCAATGCCCTTACATTAAACTTCAAAAAAAGATATTTGAATTTTCTTGTTAAAAACGAGAATAAAGATCAACAAGGCAAAGGCAATGTTCACAGGACACAGCTTCCGACACACCCAAGCAGGGCACCATGAAGGCTTACTATATTATGGTTATACCTGATTCATAACTTGCGTGCATTTTTTGCTGACAAAGCGTAGCCCAAGCTCCACGTATCTCTCAAACAGATCCATTATGTATGTTTTCACTTCATCCTTCAGTCTATCCTCCCATTGGTGCATCCACTTGTGTACGTATGGCATCCACTTTAGTTCATCCGCATCCACATAAACCATTCCGCATCTGTAAATATTGAGCGCCAAATAATTAGATACAATAAGTTGTAGAGAATATGGTGACCCGGGTTTGATTTTTTTTTACTCTCAAACTTTAAACTTTCATCTTAATTTCCCAAAACTTGAATATTATGGAAGTATTAAAACTTGAGGCTGGAAAAGTCCAGTGAAGGCATAAGTAATTTAATACTGGAAGCTGGAAAAGGCCAGTGAAGACCTTGAGCAATGTTAATGAATCACTCCATGTACCTGCTGACAGTGGCTGGTGACGCCACGGCCAAATCCTGCACCTCAAACAACATGTGGATGTACGGTGTGAACTTAATTCTCTCAGAATTTGCCAAACACAACATCTTGTTATCGTCCAATACTGTGTTCATGTTCTCAATCCAAAGAGCATCTACTGGTCCGTCACAAACAACCCACTGGTGGTCTATGCTCGTGTCCTGTAAGAATAGGCAAACTGTGAAAACTACAAATCCACTGAAAATTTGAACAAACACATCAAGACAACATACCCAGACCAAAGTTATCATATAGTAGCTATTGGTAACATGTTATTTCACCAGTTGGTTTTATGAAAATTTTTAGTTGTCAGATTTTTTAGAAAAAGTAAAAAAATGAAAATGCACTTCAGATGCATTCTCCCTTTAAATATACCTTTTTATACCTACAATCAATCTTAATTCCTTCATTAAATTATCAAAGGCTCATATAAATGTTTAATGGTAGCAACAAGGTGCTGCTGATCTATAAATAGAATCTAAATCATTCAAAGGGGGACAACTTTTTTGTAAAAAAAAATCAAAATCATTCAAGGGGGACAACTTTTTTTGTAACAAAATCCATATCAATCAAGGGGGACAACTTTTGTCTGGATATTTCTTACTCAAATATACAGAAGTGTTTAGTACTGTTAAAATAGTGTTATTCATATCAAAGAAAGAGGGAGTTACTTTTTCAAGCATGCCATAGCAACATTATTACAACAGGGTTAAAAAAATCATATTGTATGTTTTAGTTAGATCAGAAAAACAAAATCAGTAAGTACGATAACAAAATTAGATCATTCAAAGGTGCATGTGTTAAAAATCAAATCATAGAAACAAAGTTTAAAGAGAAGAAATAAAAACAACACCTTTAATATTTGTAGAAAATGTTACAAGTGCGAATAGTGTAGGTAAAACATCATTGTAACTTTCTATGAATTCTATTGGCATGTTTTTTCAGATTCTATAATACATGATGGCACGGTTTAATAAACATAACCTAGATTTGATGTTGGTATTTGTCTATTATAGATACTTTGTATCATAGTTTGGGGACCTTTCTGTTGAAAATGTCAGAGTTAAATCGTATACATATACATGCACAGTGCGGTAACTGGAGTGCAGGTATCAGTTACCCGCACTCCAGATAATGCCCGTTGATTGGCTCATTTTTGCTGGGGTTTATATTGTGACGGCAGAGAAATAGAAAGCAGCAGAAATATCATATTCAGATGCTCGATTATTGGTTACTTTTTCCTGGGGTTTAAAAATGTGACAACAGGAAACTTGTTTTTATTTATGAACTATGTTTACACAATTAGAAAGCACTAGCCAAAAATCGGCCAATCTGATTTATTTACTCGCGGCTAGCACCCATCGTACAAATAAATAGCTCGTGTTTCGCAGTGCTCTTTCTATTACTTAAAACACTGAAGATAATTTGAAAGTTTGTTGCCGGGGCAATTAAGCTTGAAAAACCCCAATTTCCAGTTCCGGTTAACATATATTCTACAGCTTTGATTTTTTATAACTTCAACGACAAGTTCGTAGCTGATATGTATACATTGCCAATAGAAAGCACAAATAGTAAAAATCTCACACCTCATGCAAAAATAAATGTTTGATGTACTTCACCAGCTGGAACCAATAGTGATTAGCCTTTGCCACTAGTCTATCTATCAATCCATCTTCCATTAATGTCAAACCCCCTCGCGGGGACGTAGGCATATAGATTCCCATAAAATGATCTGACATTAAGGAATTAATAAACAGACTAACAAACATTTAAGTAAGACAGCAAGTTAGCCTGGGGTTAGACATCATCACCAATAAAGTGCCAACTCAGGCTGCACAAATCACAGGCTTGCCTTGATTAGACTATATTAGAGACAAAGGTTTAAATCTCTGTTCTCTTTTGGTTCCAGCATTAAAGTGATACAAAAAATTCAATCATCCAATCACATGCAAGTTAATCTGATATACAGTCATATGCAAGATTATCATTAAGATATCCAATCACATGCAAGTTAATCTGATATACAGTCATATGCAAGATTATCATTCAGATATCCAATCACATGCAAGTATATCAAAGATATCCAATCACATGCCTGTATATAAAACATATACAAGCATATCAGATATATTCAATCACATGCAAGTATATCAAAGATATCCAATTACATGCCTGTATGAAAAACATATCCAATCATATTCAAGCATATCAGATATATTCAATCACATACAAGTATATCAAAGATATTCAATCACATACAAGTATATCAAAGATATTCAATCATATGCAAGTATATCAAAGATATTCAATCACATGTAGGTATGTCAAACATATATATATAAAAAACCACCCATGCAGGATTCAAACATGCAATACAATTCCATCTACAGAAGTATAATAATAACTGTATGTGCATAATATAATAATACAATTTACATAATTATATAATATCTAAGAGGGAGTATATACAAGGCATAAAATACATCTATACATGTATCTTCTTAAAAACGAAAATTTGATTATTAAAAAAAAAAAAAAATATTTTGTTAAAGATCCCGTACCACAATTTTTTCATAGTTTTATTTCCTAAATATGATACTAAAATTAAGATTTGCCAATATCGTAAGTTCAAATAAGCATTATTTATAAAGATATTACCCAATTTAACATTTCATGTAAATAAAGGGAGGTAATTAGAAATTTATTTTCTATAAATTTTAAGTCAAATTTTCCAAGAAGAAATGAATGCATGTAATTTATTGATTAAAAATAATGTGCACACATATTTGCAGTACACATTTTATATATTCTTTGATGTTTGAAAATTGTTTAATTTGCATAATTATATACATATATATTTTTTGCAAGTATGGTATACACACAGTAACAATATCACTCACAAAACATACAGGATCTTTAATACACACATATATATTATGTATATATTTCTTGTATATATTCTACTTTTTTTTATAACACCATGCATAATAGTATAATACATGTATATTATAGATTGAAGACTGTGTCTCAAGTTTTAACCTAACATTTTAACTCTGAGAAAAAAATTGTTTTGAGTTGTTTCTTAAATTTAACCAAGTGTCAGGTCCTTAAGTGATCATATATATGAAGAAAACTGAAAAGTGACATGTACAATGTAGTTATTCAACTTTAAAACTTCTCAAATATCCAAAAATATGGCATCAGTCAATGAATTTAAGATTTTGAATTTACAAGCCTGAATTCCAGTTTTGAATTTATTCTACTATATATTTAACTAAATTTTCTTAAAATTTTCACTGGCTCGAACTAATTTTCACAAGCAATGCGCCCCAGGGCCAGTGCTAAATTTGTAGACTGTGGCATGATCCCCCCCCCACAATTTAAACAATGGGGTCTTTTTCCCCCCAAGAAAAAAAACTGGACAATACCTGCGTAATAGTGTTTCAGAGTAAATAAATTTGTGACAAAATAAATGTGTAGTTGTGTTTTAGCATATTTAATAAACTTGTGACACAGTCTTATTTTTATAAAGAAGGATATATTTATCAATTATATAATATATATAGTATTCTTAACATCACCTTTAGAACAGTAATGACACGTTAACTCTTTATGCAATTTAAAAGGAGGTAACCTGTTACTGCACTAAGGTGACAATATAGTATATTAAAAAAAAATGAGCCGCGTCACGACAAAACCAACATAATGGGTTTGCGACCAGCATGGATCCAGACCAGCCTGCGCATTCGCGCAGTCTGATTAGGATCCATGCTGTTAGCTTACCAACCCTATAACAAGTAGAGAAACTGATAGCAAACAGCATGGATCCTGATCAGAACGCGCGGATGCGCAGGCTGGTCTAGATCCATGCTGGCCGCAAACCCATTATGTTGGTTTTGTCGTGACTCGGCTCAAATATATGTGCTACCCTCCAAATATTGTAGTAAGCTAGTATGTTTAAAAATTGGGGTGTCAATTTACTAACCTTAAACATCTATTAATAAGGGAACAAAGTCAAAAGCATATTAGTAACAATAACAGATCCCTACAACATATGAAAACAGAACAAGTTCAATGAATGTTATTTCCAGTTGTTGGAATTACAACATTTTCACTTTATTTTATCTTTGATTTTTTTGTTCTTGAAAGAAACATGATGATTTTCTCTTTAAGTACATATGACTTAAATAATTTGTAAGTTTTCATATAACTCACAGACCATTGGGGTTTGGAGCTCAAAACGCCTTTAAAATCCAAATAAAATTCATATATGTCAATCCCAGCACATGTACTGATCATATATATCAAAAAAACTTAATATAAGTAGTTTTGAAAAATAATCATATTTCAACATCTATAATAATTATTGTATTTTGATTCTTTTGCATTATTGGAACTTAGAGTACAGTTAAAAGTGATTTGGTATTTTGTAGGGATGTCAAAATACCACTTTATTTACATTTTGCTTATTTAATCACAAATCTTTTCAAATTGCATGCTATTTCTTTCAGATGGTAGGATATTCTGAATCAATTAATCAACAGCATATATAACACAAGTTGCAGAAAGGAAAAGTTATTTATTTCTGAGGCTCAATGTGCCTTTAAAAAGAAAAACAAAACAATTCTTAAATTCACATATTTTCTTTATCAGGAGTGATAATTGAAAATTAAAAGAAAATTATGAATAAACAAGAACTGTTCAAGAAGGTTAACTTAAATGCACATATGTTCCTTATTGTAAGTCGTTATCAAAATTTTGAAAAGTTGAAAAAAAAAAGATTAAAAAAATAGCCTTAAGTATATTTGGTCTTTATCATAAGTCATATCTGAAATGGAAATAAAGAGAGCAAAATGGACGTACCTGTACACAGTGTCTGACTGTCAGGCCCATGAGTCCGTCATGCCACTCCAGAGTGAGTTTATTTATACCACCGTACAGTTCCTCCATCGTTATAGCCTTCGGGTTCAACACGTATGTATGCACGGGCTGATAAAACTCTTTCTTCACCTCTTTCTTGTGTAAATTCTCACACGTTTCTGCTAAAACCTAGAATTCCAAAGGAAACTTCAAATGAAAAAGTGGTAATAAAGTGTTTGATAAATAAACTTAAAGAGAAAAATGTACTGTAACATTTTTTTTCTCGTGAAATATTTTTGACATATGGCTAAATACTAGCAAACCATATAAAATAATGAATGAACTGTGTATGGAAGCTGCGTTCCCTATAAAGATGAAGTAATAAAGTTCGCCATTTCTTAAAAAAAAACTGGCAGTTTTTTTAATGACACTATATATTCACCTACAGTGTGTAGAATTTTAAACATAATAAACATATCTACTTTTGTGAAGTCAAAACACGTATATTATAAAACAACAAATTTGAGCAAAGTATATCATTAACAATTTTTTAATTTTTGTAGATTTACATCATTTCCAAACAATGTTTTACTAATCAATAAACAATTCTCATGATAGCATACCTCGTAAATTGTTGTTTTACCACCACCTGTTGGTCCAACCAACATGACCCCGTGTCTGACCTCCAGTGTCTCGTAGAACTGTATGACCTTTTTGACCTGTGTTTGCAAGACAACCAAGTGACGGCTCTCGATCACAGCTTCTATTTCCTCTTGTAGTTGACCGTAGTCATGTTCAGGGATGGTAACTCCGGGGAACAAGTCCGACAATATGGCCTGTGAGAAAAACAATATATCATTATCATGTGTACGTAGAGTAACTTCATAAAAAAAAAGAGAATAGAACACATTTAAAATGTTTCTGCCCTGAAACATTACTAGATCCTCTTATTTCTGTATGGCTTTCAAATATTTGAAATCTTTTATCACTTAATCAACCCTAAAGTAACCAAAAGAAATTCACTTTCTCTTACCAGTATAGAATCAGGCCAGCCAGAATATTCATGCAGTCTGACCAGGCTCTATACGTTTGTAGCTCAAATTATCATATTTTGATACGGAAATCTCTTAAACTTTGAATGGACTTGTTAAAAATTCAAAGCAGGGCAAATCCATTACAAAAATTCAGCTAGTTATAGGTGGAGCCCTATCCATTTAGAGAGGAAAACAATTAAGATTCATTATCATCATATCATAGATTCTTAGGGCATTTCCCCCCAGACATTTGCCCCCCGACCTTTGACCTCCTTTTGTTGGCAGACACTTGACCCCCTAGAATTTTTGTAAGTAAACGTACACGATTGTCCTACATTACCTGGAAGAGCACGGCATCCTGAGCAAGGAACTTAGGTAAGTTACTATCTCTTAGAGCTCTGATGAGGACCACGTCCTCATTCTTGTCCGGATTCTGACGTTTCAGTGCACCGGCCATCACCAGAACAGACTTGACAGCACGCATACCGAAATCGTAATGGTCCTGTTGTGACAACTGTTCACTACATAACTTGTACATCTGGGTCATCTTCTGGGCGAGGCCCTTAGAGGATTCAAAACCCTCGGAGTACAAGATCACCTCAGCAATGAGGGCTGTAATATTAAAAATCTTGTTTTAAACATCGGCTAAAATATTAAAAAGCCTCTACAAAACTAACCATTTATAAAATGAGTTTTAAACTTTTGATAAAGAAACATACGTATTTCATATGAATTTTACAATATGTAGTTGATATGTATTTTATAAAAGTCATCAAAGAGATATATTTCATATCATTACTATTGTACCTACTGTATAAGTGGATATTTCCTCGTGTCCTAAAAGTTAGCGAATTTTAAATTCCAGACATTTTTGAGTCAGGAAATATAAATGGAATAGTACAAGGGTTGAATTGAATGACATGTTGGTTGATATTTACGCTAGAGAAAATTTAAGCGATTTTTGTCAATTCGCAAAATTCGCCAATATTTTTGAGGCAGTTACTTAACCACTTATTCAGTAATTGCCATTCCCCATAATGCATTATACAACTCGCAAATACTCACTGTAGTCCGGAACCATCATAGCGATGGGTCTGAAGAGGGCTTTCAGGTTGTCCGGTAGCTCGGTACGTCCGGCGTAACCGGGGTTCATTGTGATAAATGCGGCACAGCTCATGACAAGCTTAATCTCACGTCCCTCAAACATGAACCTCTGAAGCTGTGTACAGAACATGAGAAAGATAAATAAAATGATTTTAAATATGATATTTTGTTTTTAGAATTGAAAAGATATATTTATTTGTCAAAGAGAAAAATCATGTTACCTACAATACCTGGTTTTAGAAATAGTCTTAAATTGGCGTGGAATATTTACAAAAATACAAATTTTACCAAACATGTAAATGAAGGATGGCAAATTGTAAGAACTTTAATAAACTAACTAATGGGCTACGCTAAATTAATTTACCCCAAACCAATATTCTTTGTTTGTTTGAAGCATTTGCATAATACATTATCATACATAATTGTTATACTTATTATATGAAAATTGATTGAATGTTTGAATATAATGTATATTGTAATTATATAAAAAATATTATTATACATGATGATTTAAATATTATGTAGATATCATGTAAGGTATCAGAGGGATCCCTGACCCTCTCATACCTATTACGGGGTAAATAAACGGGGTTACCCAGTTGGGACCTCAAAAAAAAAAAAAAAAAGATAAATAAAATCAAGTTGCAGGGGGTGCAATGATACAGTTAAACCTGTATTGCAAAATACCTGTTATACAGTCAACAATCCAAGGCTGTTTATAGAATAAGAGAAAAATGAATGAGAATAGCAATCTGTCCATTGGACACAGATATGACTGCAAATTACTCTGTTTTGTCATGCTAAAGATGGATATATCATCATGCTTATTGACATACATACAATGTTATGTTGTCTGCCACAGTCCCCAACCCCCACACAAATATTGGGAGCATAATTATTTATCTAATAATGTTTACATAAAATGACTAATCTAAAGTAAGAAATGAAATCTATGTTTAAGCTCTTGCAAGTGGCAACTGTTAAACAAGAATTTATTGCATTTCATTGAAAATATTTCAATAATTTGTAAATATAAAAATATCCCCTACATGCTAGGTAATAAACATGGTGCTGCAAAATTAAATTCTACCAAATGAAAAAAATTTTGCTTTCATTTGTGTTTTTTTATGAATAAATAGCACGATATCAATTCTAATTTAAGAATGTGTGAGATACTGTGCATTAAAATTTGAATATATTAACAACAATAAATAATAGTGTGCATCAAAATAAATACACATCACAGTGTGACTCTTTATTTAAATCATGTTCAATTTTCATTCTGTGCTCTTCACTTGAATTCCATTTATATTACAATATCGATAACAACAATTTCACTTGAGCATAATTTTATATAGTTATATACAATGTATATCTTAATCTTCAATAAACATAACAGACAATTTACTATTTCTTCGATGGAAAAAAAGGGCCTCAACTATATGTTTGTAAATTTAGATTTTTGTATAATTGAAAAGTGGTAAAAAAAAATCTACCGACATTTAAAGGTGAAAATAGTTAACATGTACATTGACATTCCCATGCAATTTACTGAAGAATCAGTTTTTTATGTGAGATATAATCAAAATTACACCTCCTTTGTTCTGGTATAGTGATGTCCAAAAATATCTAAAAGTTCTCGCTTGGAAATAAATAACAAAGTAAAATAATAATAATAAATTGCCGGAGAAAGTGGCACATCTAATACTGCAAGTTTTGTAACACATGTTTTCATTGGACAATAATTATGGTTCATATTTGTAGTAGTGATTTTCATTGGAAATAATAATGATTTATATTTTGTAACACCGATTTCATTAGAAAATAATAATGGTTTAAATTAAATTTTGTAACAATGATTTTCATTGGACATTAATAATGGGATATATGTGTAACACTGATTTTCATTTTGGAAAATAATGATTGTATATTTTAATTATATCAATTGTAGAAAAGGCTGATAATTTCAAATTTTCAAAAAAAAAGAAAGCTGTTATGTAGTATAGATAAAAATTCTTTTCTTTAAAGACTTTTGACAGGTTATATGACCCAGGTTATATTGCTATATGTAAATGGCTGTTTGCCATAAAAAATCCCTTGTATTTATTCAGGTTATAAATATAAACTTACAGCAGTTTCTACTGAACCATATATCCTGTCAAAATTCTTTACATAGAAATATATATAAGTATATATACAAGTAGATTGAGTGGTTGGTGCAAAACAGTTGTAACTTTTATGACATAAAGGAGTAACAACCATTCTGCACTAATCCCTTAATTTATTTAAAATTCTTTACATTAATTTTTGTTTGTGTGTGTACTACATTTAAAATGGTACAAACAACTGGAGATTAAATGCTCATTATTAACTGCCACTTTGTCATATTGATTGTTGTAGAAGGGTACCTTGTTCTTCTATGTTAAAACTGGTGTAAATAATTAAAATATGAGGCAACTTTTAGTATCTCTTAATGGTTTCATTATGAAACTTTGAAACAATTTTTTTTCCTAACTGGACTTATTTATCATATGTTGTAAATTGGATGCCTGAAGATCTGGCCCCATTTTAACCTAAGCCTACTTTTAATATCGTACTGGTTTTAACACACCACATTTGAAAATTTATCAATGTTACTATAATAATGACTGTTTCCCTCAATGGACTTATTGATCACATGATATCAATTGCATTCCAAGATAAAGGCTAGCCTCCTTATCTTGTCTGCAGTTGCTTGTCCCATTATTGTATGTCCCAGATTTAACAATACGTGTATATTTTACAAAGCCATCTGCTGCAGTCCTATACAATAATAATAACAAATATACACATATTATTACATATAACAGTGGTAACCAATACCTGGGATTCTTTCTTTGGATCACCTTTAGCTTTTTTCTGAGATTGAATTTCACATCTTTAAATTTTATTCATAACAAAAGCATAAAACAAGTTCAAAGGAAAAATTGAAGAAATGTATTGATAAATTATATAATAGGTCAAAAGTTCAAAAATCAATAAACAGATTTGATGATGAAGTAAGAGTTGTCTACTTGGACAAAAAATTGTATTTATAGATTATATGATAGGTCAAAGGTTCAAAAATATATAAATAGATTGGGTGATATAGTAAGAGTTATCTACCTTGGCAGCTTTAGCATTTCTGATGGTAATCAACTGTTGGGCAATCACAGACAGCACTTCAATATCAATTCTGTTGAACTCATCAAAACAACACCATGCTCCTGATTGAGCCAGACCAGAGAAAAACCTTCCCATCATCTGAATATACAAGAAAATATTTATTTATAACCCTTGATAATACAGAGAAGCGTTTGCTAATTAATATCCCATCTAAAAAAAAATCAAATCAAATATGTCTGGCGAAAACAAGAAAATACCTTATATAAATTAATCCAATTTTCTGAGAATACAAGAAATATTTATTAATATTCTATAGTTTGATATTGCAAAAAGAAATGTTTCCTGTAAAGTTTCATAAAAATCTGAAAAACTCAGTAAAGAAACAAGAACTCAAAGAAAGGATATTACATACATTTAAACTTAGTGGTTTGGAATGAGAAAACTAATGAAATATATATACATTCTTGCCTGAGTTTCAGAAATTTATCAACTAAGTTAAATTGCCTTGGTGTAACTTGGTGTAACTTTCTTAAAATCATTTAAATCTGATAATTTCAACAAGTCAAATACCTTGTAATCAAGACCATCTGAGCAGTTGAATACGACACACTGTTTGGCGAGGGACTTTGCAAGATCCTTTGTGGTCTCTGTCTTCCCGGTTCCAGCGGGTCCGGCTGGCGCACCGCCAAGATCCAACTGTAGGGCTCCCATAAGGCATAAGTAGCAACGATCCTTAATTAAATAAACAATAATATTCATTAGGGATTTAATTATTTAAACAGTACATTTAGCAATTATTTTGAAAAAAAAATTTTTTTTGCAAATCTTGAATATGATGAAAAAAGTCTCGTGACTTAAAGGAACTCCACTGAGGTTCAAAAGCCTAAAATCATAAAATTTATTTTTTTACACAGATCAGCTGGGGCACATAAATCAGGAAGATATGCAAAACATAATCAAGAAATTTATTCAGAAATGAATTGAAAAGCGTATTTTTGAGTGAAAAACGTTTAAATGTTTTTCAATTTTATGCCATTTTTCACTACTTGAATAATTTTCCTGGATAAACCGCAAGAGCAAATGATCTAAAATTTTGCACACAAGTTACTGATCTAGACCTACATCAAACTGAGCATTAATGTTGAAAAAATTATTTACGTTTAACTTTTCAATTCAAAGAGAAAAATATATGGACAAGTTACCACACAATGCTCTAATATTACTTTTTCATAATTGTTTTTAGATAATAAGTTATGGGACAAAATTATTAAAGATTCAAACATAGCAAGAGGACATAATTTACTTTATAACTTGAAAGACTGGTTGATATTTATGCTAGAGGAAATTTCAGTGATTTTCGTAATTTGTGAAATTCGCTAAAATTTCCGCGTCACTTAATTAACTAACCACTTATACAGTAAGCTACAGTTAAAATGTAATTAATTTCACAACAGCTTTGCCTATTCATTTTTTAGTTGCTATAGTATTGATATATTTCCAGAATTATGGAAAATAAGTTTTCAAACAAGGAAAAAGACAACTCACTGTCAATGGAGTAATGACAAGACGTGGCGACGCCCCTAGATACTCGTAACCGTAGATATACATGGAGTTTGACATCTTCACGACACAGTTGTCCAGTTCTAAGTCCCAGTAATAACGTAACTGTTTCTGCCACTCAAAATTATCCACCGAGTCACACTGCAAGAATTTATATCATATCTTTTAACAAGTATTCTGATTTAACTTTATAAAGATGCATGCCTCTAAATGGGCCAAAAAATTTCAATGAAATCAACTTTGAGAAAAAATGAACATAAGATTTAAAGAAAAGTAAAAATATTTACAATTCAAGTAATGATTTAGATGTTATATGCAATGAATGGCCGATTTTGCAGTATTTATCACCATATTTCTACTGCGTGACTTATGCAGTAAAGGGCTAAAATTTTACTTATATTGACCTTTATATTTGTTAATTTACTAGGATTGAAAATACTGTTTGCAATGAGTAAATTACTTATTAACTACATGCCTTTGATGCTAGAGTTTAAAGTGGTTACTGAGCATCCATTTTGAACTATTTCTAGTTTCTTCATGTATTCCTTTACCTTAATTTATACTAAACTTCTTAATGAAAAACACAATTCATGCAAATTGTCTAGGAAGTACAATGTATACATGGGTAAAATATATAAAATACATACTACTTTATCATGCAAGGGTTGGATATTTTATGTAGATGATAAATACTGACTACCAGTTATATATAAACTTCTGTGGCATCTGTAACATGCATTTCAATAGCACCAGAAAACATGAAAAATTTGATGAACTTGATAGAGGTAATGAAAAAAAAACATAACACTTAGATGCTGTGACAGTACTGATGAATTTCAGCATAGTATGTTTGAATATTGTAGAATAGAATATGACATTGTAGAATTTGAATAAAATTTGGAGAATTTAATTAAAATTATTATATTTGATCTAAAAATGTAAAGTTTTATTAAAAAATTGTAAAATTTGATTAAAATTTGTTGAATTTGATAAAAATTTGATTGAAAATAGAAGGACATTTCAGGTTATGTTGAATAAAAAGTGTAAGAAATTTAAAAAATTGTAAAATTTCATTTAGTAATGTTGGGCAGTTTATGAAAATGACCAACTTTTCAGTTTTAAAAAATACTACTCTGGGACTTATTGAACAAACCTTTTACTTTCATTGCAGTATTTTGAATTTATATTGAAAATACTGATATAGCAATCCAGAAAATTCAGATTAAAATACAATCTCCTTTAGCAAGAGTTTAAAGTTAAAAATTTTAAACTATTTCAGCCAGTAAATTCCTTAAACTTATTATTAAAGCTAAAAAAACAAAATTCCTTGTCCAGCAATACTTGCATATCGTAATCATTTATAAAAATACATCTACTTTCATAACGTTATGCAGAAAAAAAAAAACCCATAACACTTAAATCTGGACTGTCACTGATGAATTTGCGCATAGTTGTTTAAAAATTTTAAATAAAGTTAACATTGAAATTGAATAAAAAATTGGAATGTTTAAATTGTAAAATTTATTAAAATTTTCTTTTTTAAAAGTAGAATTATGAATGAATTTACATTAAAATTCGTCAATTGTAAATTAAAAGAGTTACAGTTTAATAAAAATTGTATTTGTAAAAAAATAAATTCAAAAAATTGAAGAAAGGAAAAGAAACACATCCTGAAACGCCTCAACCGTTTATAAAAGTGTTCTTTCACCTCCCTGATGACCACGAAAAAAGTGGGTCTCATTGTATAAGATCTTTTACCATCAAAATAAAACAATTTTTGCCAAGAAGAAATCTAAATATAAATGTCCCTTTATATGTTAGACACGTATGCTCATATAATATAACGATATATAGATTGCATGCTACTGTATGATTTACAGAAATGTGTTGTTTTGTTTTTTCTATGTGCTATGCATTTATACTTACACGCTGGAAACATGATGGTGAAAAAACAAAGAATTAGTGAAGCAAGTTAATCAAAATCATAGAATTTTTCTTTTTTTCTTTTTTTTTACATAAATGCACACACTTGCATACTCTTGATTATCACATGTATAAGTGAAAACAATGAAAAAGTAATCTTAAACTGACTTAATTGTGAAAACAAAAGCAGTCTGTAAGACGGCAGGCACATTTGATTATTCAGAGCGTTAAAAAATAATACAGTAATAGGGAGAGGTTATTGAATATTCTAATGGCTAAGCTTCTGTAAAACATGATGAAACACCCACATAAATAACAATGGACTCTTCCATATTGTCTTTAGGGAAAGTCCATTTATAAAATATAGAGAGGCATGAGAGAATAATTTTTTTTTTATTAATTTTTATTTGTAAATATCTTCAAAAGTTATTATGTATTAGTAAACACACAGAAAAATACTATTTAAAAACACCAAGTTAATAAGTTCAGGGACCAGTCACATAATCTCTAACATTTCAATTGGTTAATTCAAAGCATGGATTTAAAATTGACCAATGAAATAGTTCCATATACAAATTCTCTCAAATTTCATTGGTTCATTCAAAGCCTGGATTTAAAAATGACCAATGAAATAGTTCCATATACACATTCTTCAAATTTCATTGGTTAATTCAAAACATGGATTTAAAATTGACCAATGGTAGAATGCCAAATATATATATTCTTTCAAATTTTATTGGTTGATTCAAAGCATGGATTTAGTAATTGATCGATGAAATAGTTCCATAAACATATTCTTTCAAATTTCATTGGTTAATTCAAAGCATGGATTTAAAAATGACCAATGAAATAGTTTCAAATACTAATTCTCTAAAATTTCATTGGTTCATTCGAAGCATGGATTTAAAATTGACCAATGGCAGAGTTCCATATGTGACTGGTACTTTGATTTTAAGGTTAATAATGTTGGGACTCATTGTTATTCAAAATTTCATTGTTTTAACAATACTATACAGGCAATCATTGTTAGATCCGCAAAACAGCTGAATTTATTAGCTCTGACAAAAAAATAGATATAAATATCTACCTGGCTTTTGACCATTCCAGTGATCATGTCACGACCGTGGACATCAATTGTAATCAGGGCACACAGAATTGCACGTGATAATTTTGGCAACTCTCCACGAACGATGGCTGCCAATTCATTCAAATCCTAGAAATACACAATTGAAACAAAAATTTATTGTTATACCCAATTGAAAATGCAGTACTTAAAAATTAATAATAACAATTGTTACATAATTATGCTCTTTCAATAAACTTATCCACATTATTTTATATAAAAAATTATCTTATCATTTATAAGGATTTGTTTGTTTGTTTTGGGTTTTACGTCACATCGACACAGTATAGGTCATATCGCGACATTCCAGCTTTACTGGTGGAGGAAGACCTCAGGTGCCCTTCCGTGCATTATTTCAGGCACAACCGACGTTCAGTAAGCTAGCTGGATAGCTTCCTCACATAAAAGAATCCAAAGTCCCCGTCAGGATTTGAACCCACAGTGGTGAGGGGCATGTGGTTTGAAGTCAACAACCTTAACCACTCGGCCACGGACGCCCCCATTTATAAGGATATGAAAGTTAAAATTTCAAAATTGACGAACTTTGTTAAGTGTATAAAGCAATCCATCATTCCATTTACTTACCCACATAATTTCATATCAGAAAATATTTTATCATTTGTAAAGATATGAAATCAGGATAGTGTTTCACAGAATTGAATTTCAAAACTGATTAACTTTGTGTGTGTAAATCAATCCATGAAAAAATAACGAGGAACATTTCCATAGGACACAGATGCCCCTACATTTTCAAATCTGTGTAAACCTTTGGATGGACAGTATGAAAGCAGGACACTGGAACAAATGAACAAAGGCAAATCTATATTCCAACTGCCAAGTGGTGGAGGCATAAAATTCTTGTATGTTTGAAAAATTTCAAATATATATCATTATATATATGAGCCGCGTCACGACAAAACCAACATAATGGGTTCGCGACCAGCATAGATCCAGACCAGCCTGCGCATCCGCGCAGTCTGATCAGGATCCATGCTGTTCGCTATCAGTTTCTTTACTTGTTACAGGGTTTGAAAGCGAACAGCATGGATCCTAATCAGACTGCGCGGATGCGCAGGCTGGTCTGGATCTATGCTGGTCGCAAACCCATTATGTTGGTTTTGTCGTGACGCGGCTCATATCATTAGTTATGACAAGCAATGCATTGACCAAATTCACACAAGTTTTTCACTGAAAGGAAACCTTACATAAAGTGAATATATTTTTTTCCAGTAATTTTCACTCACCTTGAAATTTTTCTGTTCAAATTCTTTCATACCCTCAAGACGGTCGAAGTCTCCTTCCAGAATCTCCGTCACTTCTCGACACCAGATCAGCTGCGATACTGTCAACACCACCTGTAGTAATAGAAGTATTTTATTTTCCTGATGGACTTTTAAAGCAGCATACCCCAAGATGAGTGAAAATATTTCAATAAATCAAACTTGTAAAAAATCTTCAAAGATTTTAGGAAAAGTAGAAAGATTCAATATTCAAGTAATAATTTACATGTTATGAGCGATTAATGGTGAATTTTTCATTATTTGTGACTATATTTCCACTATGTCACTTATGCAGAAAGGGCATTTTTTGCATATTTTCACCTCAAATTTTTGTAATTAACAGGAGTTATTAGTGCCATTGATAAGGTAAAAATTGCTTCCTTTTGGTGTACTATACAATATTATACGTTTAATTTCATATTCAATATTTTGATTGAAAAAATCAGTTATATGGAGGCTTTAAGACTTTTTATGGTTTGACAGTGTATTTTGATCATATCTAGTAAATAAAGATTCTCTCTAACACAAGTTCAATCAAAAGCAGTCTTTTATGTAATTTTAATGATGACAGAAAAAAAATCGAAAATGATAAAAATATTAGATTCAACTGATAAATGAATGGATTATGTAAAAGAATGCATGAATAAATAGACAGGGCCTTAAATGTGGTTTTAAACAATAAACGTGGAAAAAAAGGAAAAATAAAAATAAATACAAACTTTACACATAGAAAACTAGTTTACCTGGGAACTATGGGACACCACCCACTCACTACGTGGTCGCCTTTCAAAATCTGTGATGGCAAACTTGGTCAGTTTACGTAAATTGGAGAACATAGCCTCCTCAACTTTACCAAGCCACTCTTCAACATTACCTCTTGCTTTCAAACCCTATTTTGGTAATATAGAAAAGATAAATATGACATCTGGTGAGCATTTCACTAATATTCTGTAAGTTAAGCATATCTTTTTACGTAAATTTAGACTAACGCAAAACCTAAATTTACGTTAGTTGCATTTCACTAAACAATGTAAGCAATTTACACCAGCAATAAGTGAGCATAACTTTGCGTTTAAACCTACGCAAATGCATAGCTAAGAAAGTTTAGTAAAACGCAAATAAATACATAAGTTCTGCTTACACAAAAATTTAAGTTCAAACTTGACTTACGATAATGAAAGTACGTTAGTGAAACGCACCCTTGTATTTTCAAACAATATGTCATTTATCAGTTTAAAGAATAATGTTACATTAGATTATTTATAAATATTTATTCATAGAAACTTATAAATAAATCAAAAGCCATATCCCTGTTAACCTAATGCCTCCACTTATGGTATTAACAACAGAATAACATTTTGTGAAACCATTTTTGATGGCGTAAGATAAAAATTTTCATTTTTTGTGCTAGGAATAATGTCTAGCTATAAGTCAATTACAAGACATTTGAAGCGGGGTTTTTCCCATTATTTTTAAATTAGATGTGGGCAAATTTAAGACCTCATGAACTTAATTACTTTAATAATGATTTGAAACAAAAGAGTTGTAACTCTTTTAAGTCACATCTTGCACCAAGTCCTTGAAAATTTATTATTATACCAATTTTGCAAAAAAAAATCATAATCAGTAAATAAAATAATTTTAGATTAGTGGTAAAGTTAAGTCATCGTTTATGTATTCTTACCTTTCCAAGACTGACTTTTTCATTCTCTGGGGAAATCATGGCCAGGATATCATTGCTGTACTGAATCTCCTGGGGTTCTCCTGACAATTAAAAAATAATCATAAGTAGTTTGTTTTAATCAAATAAATGGCAAATTAATTAGTATTACAAAGGTCTAAATCAAATGTGTCTAGACATGTACATGTATATTCTTTACATGATTTTTTAAAACTTGGGTTCATTTTCTAACCTATAAAGTTGAAGGTTTGTTACGCGTAAAAGCACCCATATGTTATTGGTTTGCTTTGCCTGTTATTGTTTTTTTTGTTTGTTTTTTTGGAGAGTGTTTTTGTTTGTTTTTAAATAAATTCCTTTAAAGAATGAAATGTTCATACATTTTATACACACTAATTAAGCAATAAAAACAGTTATCAGCGAACAGCATGGATCCTGATCAGACTGCGCGGATGCGCAGGCTGGTCTGGATCCATGCTGGTCGCAAACCCATTATGTTGGTTTTGTCATGACACGGCTCATATACTAACCATCTGGAGTTGACTTTCCATCAGATGCTTGTATACCAAACTCTAGCTTAGCAATGGCGTCAAAACATTTCCTTAGATGTGGCTGTACTGCCAGTGGGTTCCTAGTCTGAGCCAAAATCTCCAGTAATTCATCGTTGGACAAGAAATAGAATCTGAAATTAGAGATAAAACAGTCTGAAATAAGTGATACAATAATCTTGATAATGTCAAAAACTGATTTTTTAATCTTCATATTGTCACCTTAGTGCAGTAACAGGTTAAGCCCTTCTAAAATTTAAAAGGAGTTAACCAGTTATGGCACTAAGGTGATGATATATGAGTAAATTAAGCAATGTTTTGGTGCTTTTATTAAGATCAATGCCTATTCCTAGGTTCTATTCAAGGAATGAATTATATACACCAGGGACGAAAATTTTCTTGTTAGTAAAATGTACTCCCTAAATTTTGAAACAGACAATATATTTAAAGTCTTTAAATACAATTTTTGGCTTGCTTTCAGTTTAAATCCACAGTGTAAAGGTCATAATGTAACTTTCAAGCTTCATGTGTGGAGAAAGACTTCAAATGTCAATCTTTGCACTAATTCAGGCAAAAGCTTTCACTGGAGGAGAACTATTATTATCATTTGTGGGGAACTAATTTCTGTTGTTTTCGTGGATAGGTCAATCCTAGAATGTAAGATCAATAAAAATTTCATTTTGTCTGCTGCATGATTATTTTTCATCACACTATATTTACATTTGAACTTTTTTTGGAAAAATATACAGTCCACAATTATTGAAGAACCTAGGAATATGTTATATATCTTTATGACAAAACCACGAAAATTTCATGCATACAATTTAATTAACCATTAATCTGTAGGAACCAAAAGTGTCTAACCTTTGCCACCAGTATAAAGCCAGGCCAGCCTACATATTCTTAAATTCTAAACAAGATTTATATCAATAGCCATCCAACTTTTAAATTTTCACCTTGGCATCCCTAGAATTGATAAAGGACAGTTCTAAAACGGAAGCCAGACAGGTCAAATTAACAGTTGTTTTGTCACAGGTATATATCTAAACAATTAATGAACCTACCTTGGGAAGATGACTCTCTTAGATTCCAGGTATGCCTCCAGACATTTCTGAATCTGGTCCAGCAAAGCATTGTTGTTCTGGAAAGTTTCCAGTAATCCTAAAAATAGAAACATCAGCTTTATGATGAAATACTTACAATACAATAATAAAGCTGAAGAACATTCAGAAAACTTCGCTCATGTGTGTGTTTTACATAAGATTGACTTATAATATAACCAGAAGAATGATGTTTTTCTTTCATTTCAATGCCAACATTTTTATAAAGTATTTTTGTTTTAACTGATTTTCATTTTCTAAGAATTCAAAAAATTTTGCATAGGAAAAGAAGAAGAAAAACAAAACAACCGAAGCATATAACAGGGTTTGTACTGACATCCAATGCGGACATTCAAGCACTTTTAAGCAATTTCCCATTTTCCAAGCATATTTTGTTGCACACATAACATTTGTAACCAATGATAAAGTAAATGTCGATTTTTACCAACACTATGTCATTCAATCATTTTCAAGCATATCTGCAGCAAATCTAAGCACTTTTAAAGCACCTTTTCAAGTACTTTTCAAGAGAGTAAATCAAATTCAAAGACAATTCAGCCCTTTTTTTAATCATTTTCAAGCACTTTTTTTTTAAGAACGGGACTCAAATTTAAGCACTTTTTAAAACTGTATGAACACTGTATAATAAACGTACCTGGTTGGGTGCCGGCCCTAATGGCTGAAGGGACTTTGTTCACTTTCCTCATTATATCCTTGTAGGATTTATCCACCTGCATGAACATCTTGGCCTCGGCTGGTAGTTGTCTCTGAATGTCCGGAGCCGAGAAAATACTCTCCAAATATAGCCATGCTCTCTGACAGTTTAACCACTCATCCTGAAAAATAAAGGCCGCAAATTATTTTCAATATTCAACACAAACACACACATGCTTGTCTGTTTCATTTTACACCTTTTTCCAACAGTATTTCAGTCATATAGGTGGGTAGTTTCCTAACCATCGTTCCTGGAGAGTTACAGCAGTACTAGACAACCTTCCTCCACGCTAAACTACCGAAGCATCTCCAATGGATCGAACCCATAACAAAGAGGTAACTGGATTTTAGAAGTCATCGACTCTAACCCCTTTACCACGGAGGCGGTTCAAACACACACATACATGAGTGTTAGATGTTGAATTTTTTCTTAAGTAAGGTAACTAAAAAATAACGGCAAATTTGCCATCTTAAACACACATGTGGAAGAATGGGCTTAATACATTGACAAAAAAAATGGTAAGAAAAAAAAATCTCTATAGTAACCATCAGACAGCTGTAAATAACTTTAAAAATCAATGACTTTATTGATGAAAATTCTCACCAAAGTTTTTCCGAACAAATCAAGCTGCCGAGTCCATTCCTCAACCCTAGGTTTGATTGGACCAACATGTCGAGAACTGGCAATGGTTGCCACGTTTATGTTACTGTCGTCTAACAGTTGCTGGATCTCATCTGTACCACCTAGAATGAACACGTCCTTCGAGTCTTTGTGCTGTAGGACAACAAATTCAGTGGCTTTCCATGCATCTTCAACCTACGTACCATAGAAAACAAGATTATTATCAATTGATAAATAAATCATGAAACTTGAGTGGATTTCTTTGTTTTAATCATTGAAGTACAACCTCTGTAGTTTGTTTTGTAGTTTTTTTTAAATCACAACAACACAAATGAGGTCATTAAGTGATGTATTGCAGTTTAACATGACCTCATATGACCACCCTCCATTCACTACTTCCGGCACTTAAGTCGGCACCTTAATGAAACACCCAACCTTCAATAAGCTAGCCTGATAGCTTCATTACATGAAAGAATCACTAATGGATTAATTTGAACCTGTATCTGCAAGTGGCAACTCATTTAACTTGACCACTCAGCCACACCAACCTTCAATAAGCTAGCTGGACAGCTTTGTTTAATGAAAGAAAGAAAGTTTGCAGAGAGATTTGAACCAGTATCTGTGAGTGGCAAGTCATTTAAAGTCAATATGATCTTGACCACTCAGCCACTTAGTCAAGACAACCTGTGTAAAGTGGCTCTCTGTTACTGTAGAACAATAACCTCTATATCAACAACAGTATCAATAAATCATCATTTCCAAAGTAAGACTTTACAATAAATGTAACCTCCCTAGAGCAATCTCTCTAAGCAAGGACCCAAATCTTTCAAACAAGGTAGTTGCTCAACAGAGGTTGAACTACACTTGACACACTTTATATAAATACGCTTTCATCTAATAACTTATAACAAAGGATGGATATGCATAAGTTTGATTGCTGCAATGCATTGAAAGTTCTGATAAAAAATGATATACATAAGTTTGATTTCAGCAATGCATTGAAATTTCTGATAATTTTTTCTTTTCTTTTTTTCTTACCTTCTTCAAGATGCCCTCTAAACTAGCTTCTGAACTAGCCTGGCCCGATATCTCTTGTAGAGTCTCTGCATGCTTGAAGGCATTTATGTCGGTCAGTTTACCAAGGGTCAGTGGGTCTTCAGCTGTGAATTTATACTCCAGAATATTCTCTATGACGTCCCAGTGACGCTGCTTCAAGCATGGGTTTCTTAAGTCTGTGATCACTGGTAACTGAAAATAATAGTTTTTGTTGGTTTATTTCAAAGATCAAATTTTAAGAGAAACACTATTTAATGATGAACATTTTAATTGATGATTTTATTTAAGTCTCATCAACACTAAAAGAAGTTGAATGGCGTCTTACCAATTTTAATCATGGAGTATGACATAAAGTCTGCCCCTCTATGCATTATTTCAGGCACAGTGGCTGGGGAAGTATCAATGTAAAACATTCTAATAAATTTAACAGCTTAAAATCCAATTACAAAAATACAAATTGTCAAAAAATTGTACAAAAATTTAAACTTAAGTAATTAATATTTTAGGTGTTGAGTAACTGCATAACAGATTTCACAATCGATCTACATGTACATATTTTTTTTTTTTTTTATTTATTTTTTTTTATTTTTTTTTTTGGGGGGGGGGGGGTAGGGTTTTCAATGCACCATTACTGTTCAAAGTGCAAGGGTTGTATAAAACTAAATTTATGTACATTGCAAGCATATTCATAGATATGACAATTATTTACTAGTTTCCATTTTTTTTTTAAATAAAATTTAGCCAAAAAAATCTTACTTACCCTATCTCTCATCAGTTCCACTTTCTCCTTTAATTTAGGGACAACAGCATTAGGGGGCAGTCCCTTCTCTAACTGCATCACTGACTTGGCATATTTCATAGTGGTAGAGTTCATCTGTTCCGGATCCAGTGTATCAAAACTCACCTATGATATATAGTAGGATATACATATATAGTATAGAGTAAAATTGTTCCGGATCCAGTGTATCAAAACTCACCTATTATATATAGTAGGATATACGTATATAGTATAGAGTAAAATTGTTCCAGATCCAGTGTATCAAAACTCACCTATGATATATAGTAGGATATACTTATATAGTATAGAGTAAAATTGTTCCGGATCCAGTGTATCAAAACTCACCTATTATTGTAGCAGGAAATATACGTATATAGTATAGAGTAAAATTGCATTGTTATAGCAGTCATCTAATTAGTGAAAATTATTTCGGGCCAGTGAAAATTTTAAGAAAATTTAGTTAGATATATAGTAGAATAAATTCAAATCTGGGATTCGGGCTAGTAAATTCAAAATCTTAAATTCATTAACTGTTATAGAGAAATAAACTTGAACTATTCTAAAGCTGTTATTAAATATACTGAACTTGTAACTGATAATAAATACACTGAATTTAATAAAAGCTTTTCTTAAAAAAACATTGAACTTAAAGCTTTTTTAAAAAAAAACAACATTGAACTTATTAGCTTTTTAAAAAAAATACATTTAACTTATAGCTTTTTTTTAAAAAAATACATTGAACTTATAGCTTTTTTTAAATGCATTGAACTTATAGCTTATTTTTAAAATGCATTGAACTAAATATACATTTTTTGAATACACTGAACTTTTACATTTTTTTGGATACACTGAATTTGAAGTTGTTATTAAAAATACTGAACTTAAAGCTGTTTTCAAATACACTGAATTCATAGCTGTTTGATATTAATTATTTAATTTTAACTTAAAGATGCTTATAAATACAATGAACTTTTAAATCAATAAAGAATTAGAAACTTGACAGTCACATAAAGTGAACAAACCTGAGTCCAGTCAGCTAGGAGACCATCCCATTCATCTATAGCGCTCCACAGGAGCTCCTTGAGCTTAAGTTCAGCATGAGCCTCCTCTAGGGCGTCAAACTTGGTCACCTCAACCTGCCAGATACACAAAAATATGTAACCGTTACCTTAGCACAATAATTGATTAACTGTTATTAAATTTAGAAGGACTTATTCTGTTATTGCACTAAGGCAACAGTATGTTCTAATGAATGAAATGGCAATCATTGTTGAGATTTAAAGGGAATCCACTGAGTTTTTTTGGATAAGACGGGACTGGAAATAAATTGTTTCCATATTAATGTTCCATTTGATGTAGGTCAATACCAATAACTTGTGTGCAAAATTCCAGATAATTTGCTCACTCCATTTTTCCAGATTAATTATTCTAATTGTGAAAAATGACCCAAAAATCTCTCAAATCTAACTAGGAATAGCTTAAAAATACGATTTTCAATTTATTTCTTTTTATATTTCATAATTATCTTTTACATTTTTTTCCTGTTTTGAGTGCCCCAGCTGATCTTTGAAAGAAATTAAATTTTTATGTTTAAGGCTTTTGTACCAGACAATGGAGTTCCTTTAAGTACAGCAAAAACTGATTAAAAATTTAATAACAAGTATAAATACATGTATTTTCTACACATACAATGCTGTTTAAAAGGCATGCATACCTTTTATAATGGCATGCAATTGATACCAACTCAAAGAAAAGATTCTAGAAAATGATATTGAAAAAGATATCAATAATGTTGATATTGATTATGATATGATATTAAAAGTGAAAAAGAATGAGGAAATACAGTTGATCTATGTTGAGAAATTCAATCCTATCCTAATACATGGTTTATAAACTCAAGATGAAACAGAAAAGATGGTTGATATGAAAGAAATGTCTTAATAAAAGCACATATGAATATTTTAATACTAATATCACATACCGAGTAGTGTAATGTGAATGTATATTTAGCATTTGGATTGTTTATTTTTTACACCAATTTAAACACATTATTTTGCATATTTCTGCAGTAAGTTCACATACCAGGTTTACTGGATAACTAACCAGTATAATTACCCATTTCTCTTTGCAGGGATCAACTACTTATCCCAAATGATTTCTGAATCGGCAGTGATGGACAAAAGACCATTAGACCCAATGTCTTTAATCAATTGTCAGAGAGAAATTTCGTCTAGCATTCTGAATATTTAATAGCATGACAGACTCATGACAGACTCACATACTGACCACAACAATGAAAGCAATATGAAATGACATCATTCAAATGCAGCCTCACACAAGACAATATCAAAACTTCATTTTGTCTACTTCCTTTCCTTTATGGACAATAGATAAGTATACCTCAAAATGCTGTCAATTCCTTTTTACCATAATCTCATTTCTAAAAAAATTCAGCCTATAGGTTTATGAACTTTACCAAGAAAAACCCAACTGGTTTTCATGATAATAATCATCATCATTTTCTATTATTTTAATGCATTTTCCATGATATTCATGATTTTTTCCTATCATGATATTCATGAATTTTTCCTATCATTTTAATGCTTTTTCCATGTTATTTATGAATTTTCCCTATCATTTTAATGCTTTTTCCACATTATTCATGATTCTTCCTATCATTTAATGTTCTTCCTATCATTTTAATGTTTTTTCCATGTTATTCATAAATTCTTCCTATCATTTTAAAGTTTTTTTCCATGTTATTCATCATTTTTTTCCTATCATTTTAATGCTTTTCCATGATATTCATGAAATTTTTCCATGACAATCCAAAATGCCAATAAACCTAAATATAATGAAGTAATTGTTACTTAAATCATTTTCATAAATTTTATCATGATAACTTGAAATGCTAATTTATACCTTTATAAAATAATTCAATATAACTGTGGAAATATCTTGTCATAAAAATATCTGTCTTTCTTCTCAGAAGTCATTGTAACAAATTGAATATGTTTTGAAATGAGTAAAAAAATACAACTAACAGCATTTGATATTAAACAGTTATAATAACTTCTTCTGACAAATGGCACTTCATCAGATTTTATTTGAAGATTCTTCAATTTCCATGATAAACTTGGCAAATCTATGATATTTCCATAATTGAAATTCCAATATATTTCCATGACATAGTGGTAGTCCACAGGTAAATGTTCCGTGCGAGCGCTTAAACAGGACTTAATTTTTTTTCACAACCTCACTACAGGTAAGTGTGACTGCACAATTTAACTCCACAATATTTTATATAAATATACAATATATACATGTGTGATTGACATATATATTTCTTAAGACAACAATATCGATACATGCAAATCCATTTAAATTACTATAATCTGTCCAGCATCTTTATTTGTCTTCAAGCTATGGAGAAATAACTGGCAAAGAATAAAGTTTTCATATGTTTAAAAGGTATCAGTCTAAACTCATAGAATATTAATATATATCATGTTAATTTCTGATAAAAAAATGTATGGCCCATGCACAAAATTCTTAAGTTCTATCTGGTGAAAGTCGTATTGTAAGAAAAATTTAAATACTTGAAAAAAAAACAACATTGTTTAAATATTCTTATTATATTATCTTTGAAGAGAAATTGGTTGTTTGCTCTTTTTTGTGCCCTGGCTTTTACAGGTTTTTGGTAATATTTCAGCATTTTATCTGCCTAACTGGCTTTCCTGGATAACTTATGGTAACCATGGTAAGAGAAAATTCACTATAGGACTCAATGTCATAAATCAATTATCATGGCAAAATTACACATTGTTCGTGGATCGAAAAAGTGACACCTGGGTGACTTTTCTGACACTCTCCCTATTTAGCTTAGTGGGAGAACATGCTATACACTTCTCAAAGTTCAAAATCAGTTTGAACCTAAAAAATGTTAAATGGAGACTTCTCAATTGAACTCTTAAAATAAAGTAATAAAAATAATCTATACAGTTATATTTCAAGTCCATGCATGCCTTATAGTCATGTTAAAATGCAATATAAAAGTGTATGCCCTTTAGCATTGGCCTAAGCAGTCTTGAAATTTTAGGAATTGAAAAAATTGTTAGGAATGGTAACAATAGGGTAGAAAATACAACTATACTTATCACTAGGACTCAAATAATGATATTTGTTGTGAATGATAACAAAAACCTAGAAAATACAATTTCACTAATCACTAGTAATGACCTGGATTTTTTGATGATAATGAGTTGAAAAATTGAAGATAACACTCTAAATTTGCAATGAAATCTGAACATTTTTACTTTTACAAAATGACATACCTTGAAGGCAATATGCATGATTCCTTGATAAAATATCTCTTTATTTTGCTACCTAACATGTTATAAAAGTGGGGAATAAATAGTGGGATGTATGAGCAAGAGCATATTCAAGCAAATATCTATAAAAATTTACAAAATAGTTGTTGAAAAGAGAATGAAAATCGTAAAAATATTTAAAAAGTTTTACATATAATGATCGAGAAATATCTAGACATGTTTGGCAGTTTACCTTGAAATTTTTCTGGTAGGATTTGTACGTGAAGGCGCGTTGTTGAAGATCATCCATTTGTGTAAGAAGTTTCTTTAGAACAGATTTCACCTTCTCTTTGTCCGCTGCTGCATCAAGAATGATGGGGTTCTGAAAATAAGTACCGAAATTGTTGTAAATATGGTAATACACTTGCTTACGTTTCTTTATGCTTGTTAAGGTTAAGACAGAATACATGGTTGTAAATAAATACAGTTGCTATAATGACTGTTTTAGTTAAGTCCCTTGAGTTTCTTGATATTACTGAAGTTGTATGCCATCAAGCAGTTACAAAATAAGAGATGCCTGGAATTCATATAACCTACCTGATTATTAACTAGTTTTCTATTGCATAAAAATATCCCTTAAATCAACAATGGATAAATCCAGATTAAAATAGGGCTGGTCCATTACAAATATTCAGGGGAGGTAATTTGTAAAAATGTTTTTATTCAATAACGGACTAATCCAATTTCAAAACAGGACAGGTTCATTAAAAATATTCAGGGGAGGAAATATTTTACTATCTCCTAATTCAAGAATGGTTTAATCCAGATTCAAAACAATTAAAAGTCAATTATATATAATCTGTGACTGTTGAGTTTAAATCAACTTCCTGATTCAGATCTGGGCAAGTCCATTCTCTATATTCAGGGAGGTTATGTTGTAAATTTTCTTAAATCAACAATGGAATCTTCCTGACTCAGAAGACGGATAAGTCCATTTCATAAATTCTGGGGAGGTTAAGATGTAAAAGTTATTTACCTGAGCTTCCTGTTTCACCTCTTTCACTTCTTTGCTCAGTTCAGCAATATCCTTGTCCAGGTGTGTACAGAACTTGTCAATGTTAGCATCTCTCTCGGCCAGTGATTTGTCAATGGCATTTCTTACATTTGTTATACTTGGGCCAAGTGTCTGTAAAGGAAAATGAAGATGATTTATATTACTAATATCAAAGTGTCTTGGATTAGTTTATCAATGTATATAGAGGATATTGAATGAGTGTAAGTTTAATACAGAATTTATTGAATGAGTTGAATAAAATTATATTATGCGAGCCTCTGGCGAGCATAATATTATTTCATTTAATGAGTTCAATAAATTCAGAGTAATGAACTTACACAAATTTAATATTCTATTTATCACATACCAAAAAGTATATAGTGTAACGCTTATATTAACCCTTTCGCTGCCAGAGGATTATTGCTTTATTGTTCACCTATTTGCCATAGGATTTTCTAAGAAATAACTATATTATTAATCAATATAATTATGTCTCCCCCACCTCGGGGGGAGACATATTGTTTTTGCCCTGTCCGTCCGTCCGTCAGTCCGTCCGTCCGTCAGTCCGTCCGTCCATTCTTCGTTTCCGGACGATAACTAGAGTTCCTTTTGACCTACAGCCCTCAAACTTCATAGGATGATTGGTCTTATAGAGCTGATGATCCCTATTGTTTTTGGGGTCAGTAGGTCAAAGGTCAAGGTCACACTGACCGTTGGTCAATTTCTCGTTTCCGGATGATAACTAGAGTTCCTTTAGACCTACAGACCTCAAACTTCATAGGATGATTGGTCTTATTGAGCAGATGATCCCTATTGTTTTTGGGGTCAGTAGTTCAAAGGTCAAGGTCACAGTGACCGTTGGTCAATTTCTCGTTTCCGGATGATAACTAGAGTTCCTTTTGACCTACAGCCCTCAAACTTCATAGGATGATTGGTCTTATAGAGCTGATGATCCCTATTGTTTTTGGGGTCAGTAGTTCAAAGGTCAAGGTCACAGTGACCGTTGGTCAATTTCTCGTTTCCGGATGATAACTAGAGTTCCTTTTGACCTACAGCCCTCAAACTTCATAGGATGATTGGTCTTATAGAGCAGATGATCCCTATTGTTTTTAGGGTCAGTAGGTCAAAGGTCAAGGTCACACTGACTGTTGGTCAATTTCTCGTTTCCGGATGATAACTAGAGTTCCTTTTGACCTACAGCCCTCAAACTTCATAGGATGATTGGTCTTATAGAGCTGATGATCCCTATTGTTTTTGGGGTCAGTAGGTCAAAGGTCAAGGTCACACTGACCGTTGGTCAATTTCTCGTTTCCGGATGATAACTAGAGTTCCTTTAGACCTACAGACCTCAAACTTCATAGGATGATTGGTCTTATTGAGCAGATGATCCCTATTGTTTTGGGGTCAGTAGTTCAAAGGTCAAGGTCACAGTGACCGTTGGTCAATTTCTCGTTTCCCGATGATAACTAGAGTTCCTTTTGACCTACAGCCCTCAAACTTCATAGGGATGATTGGTCTTATAGAGCAGATGATCCCTATTGTTTTTGGGGTCAGTAGGTCAAAGGTCAAGGTCACAGTGACCGTTGGTCAATTTCTCGTTTCCGGATGATAACTAGAGTTCCTTTTGACCTACAGCCCTCAAACTTCATAGGATGATTGGTCTTATAGAGCAAATGATCCCTATTGTTTTTGGGGTCAGTAGGTCAAAGGTCAAGGTCACAGTGCAGTGGGGGAGACATGCGCTTTTTTACAAAAGCATCCTCTAGTTATTATTATTTGTTATAAGTATCATAATAATTATATATGTTTCCAAATCTGTTAGTATAATAATAATTATTGTCGATGGTATAATTTTCTTTATCTTTATTATTATTATTATTATTATTAATTTATTATTATTACTATTATTATTATAGAAACGGCTAAAGCCGTCCATATGGCAAATACGCCAAAAATAACAGGGACGGCTTAAGCCGTCCCTATGGCAGTGAAAGGGTTAAGCGCGTCTTAACGCTATGTTTATTTAACGCATTTGACATCACGTCAAAATATATGCACAGCCGTGCAATACCATTTTTAGGGGGTCGCAAAAACTGCACGGTAATGTGATAAAAGATTATATGAAATGATATGGATAACCTGATAATTTGATAATAAAGCTAAAACAATGTCAAAATATAAAAAGTATACATGCCTGGTACACTGCGAAGTCCTCGGGTGGCGTTGGGACCTGGAACACATCTATCAATTCATACATGTCCTTCACAACCATAGACTCCTTCTCCAGTGGCTCAATCTATAAAAAAAAATTATAATCTATAAATAGAAATTTCAATCTATAAATAGAAATTTCAATCTATAAATAGAAATTTTATCTGTAAATAAATATCAAAATATCCTTGAAATTTCTGTAAACAGTGCACATTAGTTATTTTTTTTTAAACATACAGTAAGCTGTTATAAAAGGTTTTTAAAAAGTAATAAGAAAAAAATCACTTTGAATCTTATAGGTATACCATCAAGGAATGTCAAAGAAGAAATTCTATTAAATGTCATCAAAAAAAGTCAAGTCTGAGTTAAACGTCACTGACAAACATTAAAGAAGATCGCTTACCCTGACTTGAATGTCACCAAGGAACATTAAAGAAGACCGCTTACCCTGACTTGAATGTCACCAAGGAACATTAAAGAAGACCGCTTACCCTGACTTTAATGTCACCAAGGAACAGTAAAGAAGACCGCTTACCCTGACTTTAATGTCACCAAGGAACATTAAAGAAGACCGCTTACCCTGACTTGAATGTCACCAAGGAACATTAAAGAAGACCGCTTACCCTGACTTGAATGTCACCAAGGAACATTAAAGAAGACCGCTTACCCTGACTTGAATGTCACCAAGGAACATTAAAGAAGACCGCTTACCCTGACTTGAATGTCACCAAGGAACAGTAAAGAAGATCGCTTACCCTGACTTGAATGTCATCGAGGAATGTCAAACTCTTGACAAACTCTATGGTAGTGCTTGGTGTACTCTCTAATCTGAACTGGGCATCTTGTAGCTCAGCAATTAGTCTATCTACCTCCTGTCTGGCCAACTTGGGCAGCATATCATTCACAGCCTGTTGTATGTTGTAAAAAACATGAAAATTAAATACATGTATTGTAAAAAAGAAATGATTTTTTAAAATTTTTGGTTGGGTTTTATGTTGAACCAACACAGTATAGGTCAAGTCATCTGGCGACTTTCCAGCTTTACTGGTGAAGGAAGACTTGAGGTGCCCCTTTGTGCATTATTTCAGGCACAAACAAGCACCACGAGTAGAACCACAAACATTCAGTAAGCTATCTGAATAGCTTTCTCACATGAAATAAATCGTAATTCAAAGACGCTTATGCCGATCAAACCTGCAGCAGGTCACAACCTTAACCACTTTGCCACAGATGCCCCAAGAAATGATTTGATGTAAAATGAAATACAGTTAGCAAACATTGCTCTTGCTGATATAAATGGCGTAGATATAAAAAAAAAGTAGAACTATTTACACTTTGTTTTGATGGGTCTTTTTAAACAAGCATGTTCTTAATTGGCAAAATATGTTATTTTTGTCCAAACCTAAGGGTTGATAATTATAACAAATTCTCATCTATGTTCTTGTTTTTAATAAATATTTTCCCAATTAAACAAATTTCAAAACTTAAAAAGTCCCAATAATGCAAACATGGATCTTTTCTAAAAAAGAGTAAGGGGTAAAGTAAGTAAAAGTAAAACACAAATGTGATATTATCCAAGAAAGAAACAAAAGTCTTTTGATTAAATCAGGTTAAGAATCATGTAATGTTTTTTTGTTTTTTTGTTTTATTGGGTTTTATGTCACACCGACACAGTATAGGTCATATGGCAACTATCAAGCTTTACTGGTGGAGGAAGACCTCAGTTGCCCTTCCGTGCACAAACGGGTACTTGAGTAGAACTACCGACGTTCCGTAAGCTAGCTGAATAGCTTCCTGACATGAAAGAATTTGTATAATGGTACTTACGTTAAGACATCTAAGTGGAGAAGGTATAAGGAGAGATTTCATCTTAGTGGCGTCCACGAGCAACATTCCTATAGACCTCTTCTCTTTGATAGCCTCGGCCATCTTGTGCTGACCGTGGTACCTCTCCAGAGCCTCGCTGAACCATGCAACATCTGTGTATATAAAATACAGGAGTTAAAATAGAACTCATTCAAATAAACATGATTGTCAAAATTTTTAGACTATTAAAGGTAACTGTCAAGATTTAGGTTTTCTGTAGTAAAACAATGCCAAGATTCTGGTTTTCTCTATTAAAACACTGTTAAGATTTTAGTTTTCTCTATTAAAACAATATTAAATTTTTGTTTTCTCTATTAAATAAATGTCAAGATTCTGGTTTTCTCTGTAACAACAATGACAAGATACTGATTTTGTCTAAAACAAAGTCAAGATTCTGGTTTTCTCTTTTAAAATGATGTCAAGATTCTGGTTTTCTCTATTAAACTGTTTTTCTGTATTAAAGCCATATCAAGATTTTGGTTTTCTCTATTACAACAATGTCAAAATTTAAAGCAATGTCAATAATCTGGTTTTTCAAGATTAAAACAATGTCAAGATTTTGGTTTTCTCTATTTAAACAATGTCAAGATTTAAAGCAATGCCAATAATCTGGTTTTTCAAGATTAAAACAATGCCAAGATTCTGGTTTTCTCTATTTAAACAATGTCAAGATTTAAAGCAATGCCAAGATTCTGATTCTGGTTTTTCTATTTAAGTTATATTAAGATTTTATTTTTCTCTTTTAGAGCAATGTCAAAATTTAAAGCAATGTCAATATTCTGGTTTCCTTTATTAAAACAAATGAGCCATTATACCCAGACGTTTATAAAAATGAAACAGATATACGATTTTTTTCCCGTTTTTTTTTTTTTTTTTTTTTTCAATAAATCTAACCAACCTTGATCCTGGCTTTTAATGACATCAAGGTCCATGCTCTCATTCTCTCTATAAAATTCTCTGTGGGGTTCGAACGTGTCCGCATACTGGCTAGCAGCTCTAAACGCAGCCGTGAGAGCTTCCTGCAAAAATGTACAAAAAATTACAAAACATTCTATAAAACTGACAGTATCTTCTGTAGCACAAAAACAAAACAAACAAGTCATACTATACTAAAAAGCCCATTAATTGCCCAAGATATGTTTTTTATTTTCAAATTTGTTAGTGCTAATCATACAAAAATGTACAAATATGAAACATTCTATAAAACCAAGTGTCTTCAATAGTATAAAACAAACAAACCCTTCTTTATTTAAAAGCCTATTATGCCCCTGATATGCTTTTATTTTTAGAAACATTCTATAAAACTCTGTAGCACAAAACAAACAAACAGTACTATACTTAAAGGCCCATTATGCCCCAGATATGCTTTTTATTTTCAATTTCTCAAAAGTTTTTTATTTTTTTGTGTCCTGTTATGGTTTCCGAAAAGTTACTCATTATCCAATTATACATGAATCGTTAATTTTGCTTCTGCTGCTTTCTAGGGATTAGTACAGTCATAGAGATTTAGTATTTTGTATGGAAGTCAAAATGTTTTACTTTGATTACATTTTGTTACTTTTATGACAAATAGTTTTACATTCAGCACTACTGTCCTTGGGGGAATAAATATCTTAAATGACGCTCTAAAACCTTTGTTTAAATATTTTGAAACTCATGTCTGCCCTTTCTAAAGAATGAAAACATTTATGGGTTTCTGAGACATTATGTGCCTTTAATAAAGATGAGGTACAGTGACATATTTTTATTAACAGACTTTTGAACAGTTAACTTACACCAAGTAATGTTTTAATGTATTTACGATGCCATTTTTTTCAAATGAGGACATAAAATCATCTTAAGCAGTGCTTTTTAAATAACATAATATTTCTGTATCAAAAAATGATAATACACTTGTAAAACAAAGTACTTTTCATACTCTTTGAACTCATAGTCATTATAAAGCAGTAATTGGAGGTAAATATATTTTGAGTTACTGCTCACCATTAAAGGGACTCAGCTGAGGATTGACAGGAAATAAGCTTTTGAGATAAATTTTCCATTTGATGTAGGTCAAGACAAATAACCTTGGTGTTAAATTTCAGATCATTTGCTCATTCTGTTGTCCCAGAATAATTGTTCAAATTGATAAAAATTACCAAATCGGTCTTAGAAAAGCCCAGAGATACCATTTTTTAAATTTAATTTTTTTCTAAGAATATTTATTAACAATCTTTGCTTATCTTTTTGTTTTAAGTGCCCAAGCTCATTTATGTAAGAAATTAAAATTTTATGTTTTTTAGCTTTTACACCTCAGTGGAGACCCTTTAAGCAATAATGGACTAAAGATGTCCATAAACGCAGGATATCAAAAAAAACAGGAGGGAAAAACTTACCCTGATGGAGTGTATAATAGTCTGCAGATGTTTATCGTCTTCGAACATCGTTGCCAGGCTTGGACCTTCTCCGCAAGATTTGTCTTCAAACTTGTTGTTGATAATTGGTCTATAAAAAAATATAACACAACAATCTTTTAATAAAGTCTCAACAAATTATGTACAAATTATATGAGTCATACATAAAGAGAATTTAGTTTAAAAATATTATTTTAGTTTGATTATAGTGCAACAAAAACATACAGTTTGTTTGATTGGGTTTTACGTTGCACTGACACAGTATAGGTCATATGGCAATGTTCCAGCTTTACTGGTGGAGGAAGACCTCAGGTGCCCTTTACGTGCATTGTTTCAGGCACAAACAGGCACATGAGTACTCAGTAGAATCACCCATGTTCCGTAAGCTAGAAAAACATGATACAGCTTATTAAACCAGTCTCACGGCCCCTTCCTGGAACTAACCAGTACTGATATAATATAAGGAAACATGGTTGTTATTATATGAGGTTTTGGACACAAGGTTCCTGGGTTCTAAGAGGCTGTTACCTTTACCAATAGGTCATGATCATTCTGGTTACCCAATGTGATTCACATTGAAAATAAAAAGAAATTATGACAGCCATGGTTAGTACCAGTGTACTTTTTAATAAAATACTAGTATATTAAGGTTCACACTATTGTATGACCAAAAATAAAAATTTGAAAAAAAAAAAAAATTTTGACAAGTTTAAGGTTTAAAGGCCCATAATGCCCTGTATGCTTTTATTTTGATTTCTCAAAAGCTTTTTATTTCTGGTGTCCCTTTATAGTTTCCATAAAATTACTCACTGGCAAATTAAATGTCCCTGAATTATATTTTGCCTCTGTTGCTTTTTGGCAATTTAAGTACCACTATAAAGTGATATCAGTATTCTATATCAAAGTCAAATTAGTTTTTTATTTACATTTGGCTACTCTTATGTAGTATAGCATCTTACATGTTCTGAAACCACTTTTTTACTGCAACAAAACTTATGTTAGCCCTTTCCAAAGAATTACTTTTATTACTTGTTTCTGAGGCATAATGTGCCTTTTAGGGTTATGGTTCCCAGCAGTTATTATTACCTGGTAAATGCATCAAAGTATGTGTCTGGTACCAGGTTCTGTACAGAAAGCACAGCATCCTGAAACCGTTTGATGACCTCAGCAATTCCTTCCTGGAACTCTTCAATATCTGGAGAGAACAAAAGCTGATTTGGCTCCAGAACAAACTCTGAGATATACAAGGGAGGTAATATTGGAACTTCATCTTCCTCCTGCAAGAAAATGATAAAGTCAATTTGAGTTGCCTCCCTTTTTCTTAGTAAATTGATAGGCAGACAGAAAATGATAAAGTGAAACAAGAGTTGTCTTACTTGACTGTTGATAGCCATAAAAATATACATGTTATAAATTTTAGGCAGAAATTGATGTAATTATCTAAAAACCTTAAGAATTTGCAATTGATTTATGTTGGGATTTTTCTTTTTAATTCAAGACTTTTTAATGTATACTGTATTTATAATTCATGTTACTAAGTCTGAATTGAACTTTTGCTTTTAATTAAATTTTTAACTCAAAGACAGTTCTGTAAAAAAATTTACATAAAATAGTTAAGTTTCATAATATGACAAGGCAAAATAATAGGAGATCTAACAACAAAATAATGGGGAAAAAATGTGTAAATGATAATTTCACAAAAAGTGATTTTAAACAACAGAAAATAAAAGGTAAACAATCTAAACATCCTTCATTTACCAACTATAAAGGAATATTGTTGAAGAAACATCATATAAAAGTTTAAAAAATAACAACAATTAAAAAATTAATTAATAAAAAAAGTCACATGTGATAATATAAAATCCCTGAAAATGTTGTATTCATCATATAAATTTTGTAGTTTACACTTCCATATTTGACAAAAAAAGTGTTTCTTTCATCACTAAGGTTTTGTTGTTGTTGTTGTTTTTGTTTTTTTCACTTTGTTTTTTTTTTCACTATCACATGTGCTGTCACTATTTTTAACCAGAATCATACCCCAATATCATCATTATTATCATTATTATCATCATCATCATGGTCGGTAGAAACATCTTGTTGCTCTTCCTTCATATTACACAACAAAAATGTGTATACATTTATTTTACACATTTAAAAGGCATAGTCAGCATAGACTTACACTTACTTTTAAAGAACTCATTTACTTCACATGTGCATTTAAAAAGCATAATATACAAGGATTAGCATACTAGGAAGACTTTCTACAGTACTAATTTACATATCTAAAAGCATATAAAGCATATAATATATAGACTTTCTACTCATTTACTTTACATATTTGAGAGCATAAAATTTTAATATAGCATAGACTTATGATAACTTTAACTAATCTTCTTTAACACATTAAAATATCAAACATGAAACATCTTAGACTTTAACTACTCATTCACTTTACACATTTATATAGCAAAATTAACGGACTTTATACTATTATATTTGCTCATGTTTTATCCTATATATTTTTTTAGATCCAGATTTAGTTTCTGAGTTTTAACACATAGCATTAGATTGTTAAATCTACTTAATTTGAAAGTTCAGAAGTGGGACTTTAAAAAATTTCCAAAAGTGATTCACAGTGGCTGAAACTCTAAAATTAAACTTTCTAAAGACGGTCTTGTTTTATCTTCCTATTAAATAAAAAGCACCTTTTAGTTGACAGTAAACTGGAAGCTTGTTCAAATTATTCACCACCATTTTTGATTTTTTTTTTACACTAGCACTTCATTATATACACCTTTTAACCTTCCAGCCAAAATTTAGCTGGTAACTTTCATACATTTCATCAATTTCAATTAAAGGGAGAAAACTCTAAAATAATACTGTTTGTTTTTCTTATTTCGGTGCAAGATTTAGAAAATAAATCATCATATCTTTTTGCTAACTTGATTTAAATCAAAAGTTTTTTTTTCATACTTAGTAATTTACCTTTTGGCCCAGAACCAATGCAAAAAATATATTGGGATTTTCCCAACTTAGATTACAATAACAAAATTTGGATTGATTTTGGCAACAAACCAAAGTTGACAATAAAATATTCCCCCAATAAAATAAAATCTTGTTCTATATTTTACACATATACAACTTGTCCTGATATTTGACCTATAAATGAGCCGCGTCATGACAAAACCAACATAATGGGTTTGCGACCAGCATGGATCCAGACCAGCCTGCGCATCCGTGCAGTCTGATCAGGATCCATGCTGTTCGCTATCATTTTCTCTACTTGTAATAGGTTTGTAAGCCAACAGCATGGATCCTGATCAGACTGCGCAGATGCGCAGGCTGGTCTGGATCCATGCTGGTCGCAAACCCATTATGTTGGTTTTGTCGTGACACGGCTCAAATGTGTTTAAGCTACAATATTAAGAGTCTTTAATAATATTATATTACTTAAATTATAGCAAACAACCAAGGTCAAATGTATTAAAATGTGTATGACTGTATCAAATTCTTTACACTCAACACTGTAAAATAATACATAATATTATACGCTGTATAATATATATACATGTTAATGAAGACAAAAAAAAGTTAACCTTGCTCTTATGAAAAGAACTCTAGAGTGCCACCAGAAAAAAAGATTGAAAGATGTTTTGAAATATATAAAGGAAGAATAAAGAAGGCATTAGTTTTTTTTTAACAATTAGTTTGCTTTTCTGGAAAGAAAAATGTTGTTTTCCTAACTTTAGATATTAGATATTGGGCTACTGTCACAGAGGTGTCCCGGAGAAGAAGTGAAATCATAAGGAGTGAGTCAGGGAATGTCCCGGATATTAGATTTATGTCACAGAGGTGTCCCAGAGAAGAATTGAAAATAAGATCATTAATGCTAAGGAGTAAGACCACTAAATGAGCCACTTGGCCATAGGGCCATATTAATTAAACCTTCTAGCAGAGCACTAAAATACTACAATAAATATATTAATTAAAACAAAAACAGGGGAAAATAAAGTTTATACAATAATGACAGTCAGGAAAAATACTATAATTATAAATATAACCCTGTGAACCCTAGCAGCAATTAACAACTTGCTAAGCTTGAACCAGTATTTTTATTATATTCTCTGATTTAAACTTACCCATATTTTTTAAAGAAAACTTATTTTTCTGACTTTAGCAAGTATTATCACAGTCAGTCTCAGATATGCTAAAAATTAATTTGGCACAAATTGCCTAACTGCTCTTTACCAGGCAAAATTAACCAGTTTATTCATATAGCATTACATAACAATTACATTTCTAGTCCAATATCAATTACATTTTTAGCCTAATATTAATTACATTTTAAGCCCGATATTAATCACCTTTTAGCCCAAATATCAAATATATATTTTTTTAGCCCAATATCTATTACATTCTTAGCCAACTGCAATATCAATTACATGTTTAGCCCAGTATCAATTACATTTTTAGCCCAATATCAATTATATTTTTAGCCCAATATCAATTTCATTACATTCTAGCCCAATATCAATTACATTTTAGCTCCAATATCAATTCAACATTTTTAGCCCAATATCAATTATATTTTTAGCCCATTATCAATTACATTTTTAGTGCCATTATATCAATTACATTTTTAGCCCAATATCAATTACATTTTACCCCAATATCAATTTCATTTTAGCTCCAATGTCAATTACTTTTTTAGACTAATATCAATTACATTTTCATCACATATCAATTACATTTCTAGCCAAATATCAATAACATTTTTAGCTCCAAATATCAATTACATTTTTACCGATTATAAATTACATTTTTAGCCCAATATCAATTACATTTCTAGCTTACATTAATTACATTTTTAGCCCAATATTTATTACATTTCAAGCCAAATATTTACAAGCTGTTTACATTTATCTGTATCTAACAAGCAAAATTGAAAAAAGTAGGTAAATAAGTAAAAGATCTACCACCAGAGTAAATAATATATATAGTTATCTATTACCCTAAAACTATTTCCTTCAAAATGATGAATTATACAAAAAATTTTTTTTTGGTAATAAAAAATGCCTCTCAAAGTTGTTTGTTTTTTGTTTATGGCAGGTAACATCTAAAATTACATTGGAAATTTAAGGACATTGACATTTTAGGCAATATTTATGATGATATTTTTAAATTCTTTTTTTGTTATTTCTTTTATTGTTTTTGATGCATAACTTTAAGAAAATGCTTAATTTTATCGCTTGATGGAAAAGTATGACTGTGTCTTATTATAGCCAGTATAAAGACCCTTAATATATGGGATGATTATGATCCTATTGAGTGAACAAAGATTTTCATATCTCACTGGCATATGATATCTCATTAAGATGAGATAACTCAGTGCCTTGATATTTCATTAACTTTTGATATCTCATTAAGATTTGATATTTCACCAACATTTGATATTTCATCAAGATGAAATAACTCACTGCCTTGATATTTCATTAACTTTTGATATCTCATTAAGATTTGATATCTCACCGATATTTGATATCTCATTAAGATGAAATAACTCACTGCCTTGATATTTCATTTACTTTTGATACCTTATTTAGATAATATAAATATCTCTCTGTCATTTGATAGTAAGTAAGTAAGTAAGTAAGTAACGACTTTATTTAATGAGGCAACACAGTTGGGCAAGCCCAGTCTTCCCTGTGAGCCTCACTAGATTGATATACCTTATAAGATTTGATGTCCAAGACTATCAAAATGTGACAATTATCACTGAGTTGATCATATCTCACAAAAATGTGATATCTCACTTAATTAGAAGTTATATTTCACTGACTTTTGATATCTCACTCTAAAAGCTGTACAAAACAAGAATTATTTTCCAGGCCATTAATAACACCATTCTTAATATACATTATTGGTAAGGTTTGTTTATTTTTATTAAAGGGACTCAACTTAGGTTTTTTGACATGATGGGACTGAAAATATTTTTTCCAGATAAATGTACCATTTGATGTAAGTTTAGTCCAGAAATGTTCGTGCAAAATTTCAGATCATTCGCTCACTTCGTTTTTCCAAAATAATTATTATTGTAAATAAAAATGACCCAAAATGAAAAGCGTTTAAACGCTTTTCACTCAAATCGGGCTAAGAAAAGCATAAAAATACAATTTTCCATTTTTTTCCAAAGTATATTTCTTAACTATCTTTGCATATATTTCTGTTTAAAGTGACCCAGCTCATTTATGTAAGAAATTCAAATGTTATGTATTTAAGCTTTTAAACCTCAGTGGAGTCCCTTTAATATTTTTCAAAATTGCACCAAATAATCGTAATATATGTATTATATGTACATTCATCAAGCTGAAGGAAAAAAAAGAAATCCTATCCTATTTCTAACTACCTCCTCGTCAACATTTTCAGCTTTGTCGTCGCCATCTTTGTCCTTTTCCTTATTTTCTGCCTTTTTCTATTATAATGTTTATTAATAACATAACAATTGTTAAAAATACTATATTATTATGATTCTATTTTTCTTATGCCAGCCAAACAGACGATCAAGCTTTGAATACCTTCCATGGCAGATGGTTATATATATATAAGTAAAAGACAGAAATGATTCCTGTTTATAATGCAAACTCTTTTTTCTCTTTTTGTAAAAAAAAAAAATAAATAAATAAATAAAAGGGAAAAAACAAAAATTAAAATAGAATAATTTAACCTTTAACCTCTCAAAACCTAAAGTGATAAGCATTTGTAAACATTATAGAGCCAGGCAGGCCTGCACATCCATACAGTCTGACCAGGTTCAATACTTTTTTGTAGCTCAATTTTTGTATTTTGATATAAACATCCCTTAAACTTTGAATGGACTGTTCCAAATTCAAAGCAGGACAAGTCCATTATACAAATTTAGTAGGTTAAGGGGTTAAATAGAGTTTTTAAAGTGTATTATATAACATGTACAAATTTGCCGATTTCAAGAAAAAGTTAAGTGCATTATACATAAGCAGCTTCACATTTTTTAAGTGTTACAAATTTTATAAACAAATGAAACAATTATTGGTACAAAAATGAGCCGAGTCACTACAAAACCAACATAGTGTGTTTGCGACTAGCATGGATCCAGACCAGCCTGCGCATCCGTGCATTCTGATCAGGATCCATGCTGTTCGCTTACCAACTCTATTACAAGAAGAGAAACTGATAGCGAACAGTATGGATCCTGATCAGACTGCGCGGATGCGCAGGCTGGTCTGGATCCATGCTGGTCGCAAACCCATTATGTTGGTTTTGTCATGACACGGCTCATTAATAGATATGAAAAATAAAAGATATTCTGTGTTTCTGCATATATATCAAATACAAAACATCTCTATACAAAGATATTTCTGTGTTTTTAAATATATATAGTATACAAAACATATCTATACATTTTTGTAAAGGGATAAAGTGAGGTCAAGTTTAAACAGATATTGTGACAGTAGTACCCCATTCAATTTAATACTGTTACATGTCAAAATATACATGTATTTCACTTAACCCAATTAAAGAACAGGGTAGACATCTTTACACTACTCAATCTCCTTCTTGATTTAAGAGCTTGCTATAAATAGATTATGTAAAATGTTGATTTCAGAGCTTGCTATAAATAGATTATGTAAAATGTTGATTTCAGAGCTTGCTATAAATAGATTATGTAAAATGTTGATTTCAGAGCTTGCTATAAATAGATTATGTAAAATGTTGATTTTAGAGCTTGCTATAAATAGATTATGTAAAATGTTGATTTTAAAGTTTGCTAAAAATGTATTATGTAAAATGTTGATTTCTGAGCTTGTTAAAAATAGATTGCCGTATGTAAAATGTTGATTTTAGAGTTTGCTAAAAATAGACTTTGTGAATTGTTAATTTCAAAGCATGCTAAAATTAGATTAAATGAAAAGCTTATTAAACAGCATGCTAAAAAAGCCTTGTCAAGTGTTCATTAAAAATAATTATATATAATTATAAATTAACCCAGTACAAGGATAAAGTAATTGATACAAGGAATTGAATATAGGAAAACTGAATAAAATTATGGGAGTACACGTCTTATATGTACAAATGTAGGTAAAAAAAGCTCTTTTCAATGACGTAATTCATTCCTGGATATAAATCAAAATCAATTTAGTAGCAATCCAACAAAGTATTAAAAATTTTGAATCTGATTATTTAAGATATGATTGAACAAGCTACAATTTTTTTACCTTTTCTTCTTCGGCTTTTTCATCTTTATTCTCCTCTTCAAGACCCTGGATCTGGGCAAGACTCGGTGTGTTCTGTAACTGCTCGGTCAAATAGTTCAATAACGTGGACACCGAGTTCACTGCTAGCACGTGCATTGTGTTCACTATCAAATAGTCAGCCAAACGTATGAAGCTGTGAAATACGATAAGACATTTGAGCCGTGTCATGACAAAACCAACATAATGGGTTTGCGACCAGCATGTATCCAGACCAGCCTGCGCATCCGCGCAGTCTGATAAGGATCCATGCTGTTTGCTATTAGTTTCTCTATTTGTTATATGGTCTGTACGCGAACAGCATGGATCCTGATCAGACTGCGCAGATGCGCAGGCTGGTCTGGATCCATGCTGGTCGCAAAACCATTATGTTGGTTTTGTCGTGACGCGGCTCATTTAAGTATTAATAAATTATAGATAATTATATGATAAATAATTAGTTTTCTGGTTATTCTTTTTGGTTTTTATGAAGGTTTTGTTAAACATCTAAATATCTAAAAAAATCAGCTTGTTCCATTCAATTTATTTAAGTTAACCGAATAATGAATTTCAATTTTAACAGGGTGAAATAAATTTTGGAAAAAAAGATAGAAACATGCTTATTTTAAACATAATTAAATATCCCCAACAATCTTCAATTGCACAGCCGGACAAATAAAGACAAATATAAAATGCATAGCGCCCCTAAGTGAGGCATATTAAAAACAAAATAACCATCAATCTTCCCACAAACAGTAGTGATTTAACAGACAAGGTCATTCTTATCTGTCCAAGTGAGTGCAACTTTTGTTTGTTTAGGTTTTGATGTGTGTGTGTGTAGGGGACGAGGGGGGGGGGGAGGAACACAAATTTTACTCCTTGTTAAGGGGGCATATATCACAACAGACAATCTGCCTTACTGGTTTTCATTGTTAGCTGACCAATAAGCAAGTGAACGCCTACCAATCTGACAAGAATTTCTGTATCAGTGTTGACGGACAAATGACCATTACTGATTAGACTCTGAGATCTTCCGTGATTAATTGTCACAGAGAAATTTCATCTTGCCCAGTAGTATCAAACCAGCAGCCACTAGAGTACTGATCCAAAACTGTCTCTACTGAGCTAAACTGGCACTTTATTAACCCATTACTTCATGAGCATTTTGTGAAAAATGGCTGTTTTCATTGAAAAGTCTCCCGTTACAAGTTCAAATTGCTATAATACTATACAAACTGCTTCAACACTAATCAAACTTGGCACAAATGTTGACTGGACCATTGCCCTTGCAACAACATGCTCAGGCTTAAATTTTCTGTTACCATGGCAACGAGGGGACATCTCAAAATTGCCAAAAATCACTTTTTGCGTTGATTTTTTCCATCATAACTGATTTCAAAGTGCTGCAACTTCTCAATGGATTGAGATAGAGTCAAATGCTTTTCAGCGTTGGTTACACGTTACCTTATGATCAATCTGGGGTCATTAATAGCCTCTCACAAGTCCAAAATTTTCTTGGCGATGAGGGGGACTCCGCCCCCGTTCAAACCCCCCAAACAGAAGGGGGCACATCCCCCTTCTGGCAACCCCCTGATGTATCTTTTGGTTGGGGGCCGCGCCGAAAAAGTGGTCACTTTTTTTAACAACATTTCTCAAACAAAAACAAGTGTTAAGGGCCTAAATAATGCATTTTTTCACCATTTGAGACCACAAAAAGGGGGGGGGGGGGGTGAAAAAGGCGTTAAAAGGCGTGTATATGAAGTAATGGGTTAAGTTGACCACAACTTACCATGTTAGACGTTTACAATGCTCTCTCTTGTTCGCTTGTTCCGTGTATGTCATTTTGTCCGGGGCCTCGCCGTAAATATCCATATCATAGTTGCTCTGCATCAGGTAACTTGAGGCCGTACCAGGGGCTCCAAAATCTCCTGTATCGAAATCATATTGTATGATATAATAAACATGTTTGCCAAATACACTGTCTTTAAGAATTACTATGCATTGAAGGTGCACTTTTAAAAATGCTGGAATCTATAGTATCTAGGTTTCTTTTCAACTTTTGTTTTTTTTGGACATGTAATTATCGTAGGCAAACCCTAAATTTAAAACTATTTATCTGGAATGATCATACATTTATTAAACATGGAAGCTTTTCATTCTGACATGCTAACCAGTAATTGAATTTATCACATAAACCGCCGCGCAGGAGTGCAATAAAGCCATTTTATGAAAACGATATTACATTAATGTAATAACACTTTCAGAGGTGATGTCATTTGCATTATATACAAACATAGCGTTAAAGTGCACATATGTGAGCATTACCCTTTAGGGCGTGTCAATGAAAAATGAATTTTTTTTTAAAAGTTGACCGTTCTTATTTATATGATGTGATAAACAGAATATTATATTTGTGAAGATGCAATACTAAATTTATTGAACTCTTTGAATAAAACAATATTATGCTTGCCAGAGGCTCGCAAAATATGATTTTAATCAACTTGTTCAATAAATTTAGTTATAAACCTACACTGATTGAATATCCTCTATTCATAAGATTGTTGTCATCCCATACTCTTAAGTAATGTATTCTTTAGAAACCATCTTTTGTGCAAAATATATCGACATAAAACTTACTGTAAAATTCCTAATAAACGCCCCTCCCCTAATAAAGGCCCCCCCAGGCTTTTTGATAGGGTAAACAATCTACTCATCAGTGCTGAACTCATAATAAAAGCCATAATTTTATTCAAATCATTCAGAATCCATAGTATTTTATAGTAAACACAAAAATGTACAATATGAACTTTAAAATCTTAACATTTTTTAATGTCATTACCAACACTTGCTAACACTAAATGTATTTACAGTGATTTTTTTATTTAGGAAAAACTGTGTTGTAATAATAGCCCCCCTTTTGGAAAATGTTTAGCCCCCGGGGGCGTTTATTAGGAATTTTACGGTACCTGGACTTTCTCCACCGTCATAGAAATAGTCATCCGGTGTAAATCCTGCCTCGAGAAGAGCAGTACGGCAGGCGCTTCTTACAACTTCCTTGACAAGGTCCCGGAACTCCATCAGTCGCCCGGCCACCTCACTGAGCTGTGTAAACTGGGCCTCGTTAAACTCTCTGAGAGAATATGTATGACCTTTCTCGACCTTGCATAGACCCATGTCACTGATCCTGTGACACATTTCTCGTACGTTCATCAATGCTGGCCGTAATGACTGAAATACAAAATAATTTATGTGCATTTTTTTTAAAAATTTTTTACTTTAAACAATTTAAAACATCAATTTGGCTATCACTTAAGTGCTAAATAATGAACATGCTTTCCGTCTAAATCAAGGCTGTCATTTGAAAATCTCTATATCAATATATCATTTAAGAGAAAGTATATCATTTTCAGAGGAAAAAAGAGCATTTTTAGAGGAAAATATAGCATCTTTAGGGAAAAATATATCTATTCTTGGGCTAGGGGAAATAGCTATGAAACATAGGGGAAAAAAATCACTGCTTTTCATCAATGACAGTCCTAGAATCATGCAAATACTTACAGGATTGACTATAAAGAGGTTGGCATTGAGGGCCTTCTTGCATTGAGCAATCTTCTTTGATTTTACATTGCCTCTCCATACACTGAAAGCTTTCCATTTTCTGAACAGTGCAAATGTTGGGATCTGAAAGATCAAAGAATTTGTAAATTGAATTTTACCAATAAAAAAAATATATATATAGATTATTTAGTGCAAATGTTGGGATCTTTAATAATGAACGAAGAATTTGTACAGGAGTTTGAATTTATTAAATATATTATATAACTTATCTGCCCCTTGAGCTTGATTATTGTGTAAAAAAAGGGCAGATAACTCTTAAAAGAGATAAAACAAAAACCCAGTCTACATGTCTGATGGCTAAAAATATCTCGTTCGGTATGAAGACTGTAGCAAATATCCTTACAGCATATTTAATCCTGCTTTTAATTCAGGAATATTTCAAACATGAACAATATATTTATATTAACAATACTTCTTCAAACCTTGGCTTTTTTTATCTAGATGTAATATAATGATGTATACATGGTATACAAAAACCTGCTTCCAAGGACTCCTCATTCTTAAAAGTATAACATCCAAAATTTACCCCCAAAAATTACAGCGACCTAATGGTTAAGGTATCTGCCTCTTAAGCCAATGATCTTGGGTTCAAACTTTAAAGTCAAGTCCATATTTCCTTGAATATGACAGGCAAGTGAGTTCTTGTTACATTGAAATAAGGAACATATTTCTTTCACACTTATTGAGCTTGAATAAATAATACTTCAACAACATTTATCTACAATATATCTCACAAATTAAGGATCCATTTTTCTTTCAAAGACAGAAACTATCTTAAGAAACATTTCTCTTACCTTAATAATTTTTCTGAAATAATCATATTCCAGTTCCCATCTGTCCAGCGTAACAAATTCTGTTTCATCGTCGCTACGGATACGAGTTACTCCTTTCTGACTGATTGTACAGTAGTCTGATTTGTTAATATTTTCATGATTCACCACCCTAAAAATAAGAAAGTTTACATTCAAGGGAAATTTTGAGTATTATTATAATTATGTTGTACAACGTTAATTTTGAACTTTAAATCTGCACCATATACTTAGTTAAGTAGTTAAATTGAAAATAAAAAGAAACAACACTTAAAACAGTAGATTTATTATAAAAGATGCCTTATCTGAAAACCAAATTTGTTATTATCTGCATGTACAATGTATTTAAAATTCATGTGTAAAAACAAATATAAGATTTTATTTAGAGAAAAAAAAAACCTTATCTTAACAAAACTAAAGTAATAAATATTAATACAAATTGGACAGATTTTATCACAAAATAATACTGGATCACATTCCAAATTTACATTTTATTAAAGGGACTCCACTGAGGTTTAAAAGCCTAAAAAACATACCTTTGAATTTCTTACATAAATGAGCTGGGGTACTTTAAACAGAAATACATGTATATGTAAAGATAGTTAAGAAATATACTTTGAAATCAATTGAAAATCGTATTTGTATGCTTTGCTTAGCCCGGTTTGAGTGAAAAGCTTTTAAACGGTTTAAGAAAAAAGAAAATACTTAATATCAATTAAATTTTTTGGGGAAAACTACATGACTTTAAAAGAATTTTTCTTCTGGAAAGCCACCCTAAAATGACCCCTGCTATAGAAGGAAAAAAAGGTGGTTAGTGTAATAAATACTTACTTCAGGTTATAGTAGTGATAATCTACAGAAGATTTCGGTACAGCCGGACTCAAGTACAGGAATCCGATCCTCTCATGATCTTTGATGAGTTGTGTTATTTTACCGGTATCATTCATACCCTCATATGTCTCTAATACTGTAGGAAATGAAAAATGCATGTATTTTGTTTTATTTGGTTTTACGTCACACCGACACAATATAGGTCATACTGTGACATTCCAGCTTAACTGATCGAGGAAGATCTCAGGTGCCCTTCTGTGCACTGTTTCGGGCACAAACGCACACCTGATTAGAACCCGCAAAGTTCTGTAAGCTACCTGGATAGCTTCCTCACATAAAAGAATCGATAGTCCCTGTCGGGATTCGAACCCACATCGATGAGGGGCAAGTGGTTTGAAGTCAACAAACGAAACCTCTTTGCCACAGATGAATGCATGTAAGATAAATTTATAGTAAGTTTTCTTGTGATCAAATTTATCACATTTAAAGTAAAAACATGGGTTTAAATGGTATAAAACTAAAATTACATTGTTTCTATAATCTTAGGGTCAATTTTTGCAACAAAAATTATAACATAGAATTTGTCTGTTGTTTAACAATGATATAAATATGGAACAAAATATTATGCTCCTAATTTTTAGTACGGTTTTAACTGAGTAACAACGATTTCGTGCATGGGTTATTCACAATTTAAGGAAAGATAAACACATAATTATTTCTTTCTGATAGATATTTTTGAATTTAGCTTTATACACTTTAAAATAGGTCTATAATATCAATGTATCCTTATGTACATCAAAACATCTTAAAACAGAGAGCAAGCACATTAACATATACAGTTGACTCTCAATAAGTCAAAATCGCTTTACTCAAAATTCCGCGTTAGTCCAAGAGTTTCTAAAGTCCCGTCAAATTTCCTTCTTTAACTTTGTATTTCAACTCCGCTTAGGTCAAATTTTGACTTACCGAGACTCCTGTTTAGTCGAAAAGAAAATTTGGTCCCGTCAATTAAAATCAAACATATTTTCATTTCAATAAGTCGAAGTGTGAAAACAGCCGACTGATCAAAGGTCGGCGACATCAAGGTGAGATGTTGTCACTCATGATTCACACGTTTCATAGTAATTTTAATTGCCGGTCATCATGTATTATTAAAAAAGTGGATTTAATCGGTTTCAGCGCTTAATTGGTTTTAACAGTTAGATAACTAATTTAAGATTTAATTCATTTAAGTGTAATTAAGTTTACCTGCAGACTAGTCTTACACATTTCTATTAGAAAGTTGACTCGTTCGAGTCTGACAGGCTTTAGTCAAATAACAGCCTAGATATCAAGGTAAATGACATTTGTTTAATTAATTTTCCGTCATATTGCATACATTAATAACTACCGGTTTACGATAGTTGATACTTTCGTTTTCGTCCGATGATCAATTCACTTCAAATATTAGATTAATGGTTGTTGAAGTAAATGTGTTATTGTGCTTTTATTGTAATGAATTGTCGTGAGTGCTTATTAAAACATGTGCATTGCCGCTGTCAACAATCACAAACCTACTTCTTTGCACATTCAGTAGGCACATGTATATACATGTACGAATGTCAACGTAATGGCGGCAGATTCACTTTACTCGAATTCCGTTTCTCTCGAAGTAAAATGAAAAGTCCCTTGGATTTCGAGTTACCGAGAGTCAACTGTATATTACCTAATTAATGCCAACTGAGGGCATTACAATTTCCAAAAAGAGGGTGCTAATTCAAGTATATATAGAAAATAGTTTAATACTGTCATTGAAACAAAAAGAATCTGCTATTTTTATGTTCATTGTTGTTTACACCTTCGTCAAATATACTGAAATAACAAGCAGTATCTAAAGTTCTTTCCATTTCCTGGGATTTGAATCATTTTTTTTTATTAAACTGCTTAGTCTTGATGACTCAGTTTGTCAAAAAAGGTGCATTAATTAGGGACGTGTGTTTATAAGGAATTATATGGTAGTTTGTAAATATTCAAATTGTTTTTTTTTTCTTAATTTTACCTCAAATTGTGTTACTTATACAATATTTTTTCTACAATTTTAACTGTGTCCGTCATAGATATGTAATAATGACCCCAAACCTTATGTATTAGATGTCAAGGACAATAAAATCCTAAACATTAAGACAACAATAATCATCAAACAATGCTACAACCAAAAATATACTTTGATATTTTTTACAGAAACTGATATAGCTTTAGTAATTAAGAAATTAAGATTCAAACCTTTTGGTTTTGTTGAGGCTGGGATAACAGGTCCAGCTGCATGCACCTTTCCTCTGGGTGTGCTAACCTTGGCTTGTTTAGTTGGTGTCGGTGCTCTAGATCCAAGAGTCTCTTGCTTCTGTTTCAAGTCATCAGGCAAGTCTGGTAAGGGAGATGGTGGCATACCTTCTGGTCTTTCCAAGGGAAGTGGAGCGCCTGAGCTCTTGCGTTTTTTCTTCAATGGTTCTTCAGCCAGCTTAGCAAATTTCTCTGCTTCAAGCCTTTCCTTATTCTTTTTTTGTATATATTCAGGTTGGTTCCTTTCTTGATGCTTTTGTAGACTTGGCTAAAAATGCAAATTAAACACGGTAAACATGGTTCTTTTTATGTGATACTTAAAATACCAGGCATCTATTGGAAAGTTTGAACTTATGATTAAGCAAAAGGAATTTCAGTCTTTATAAAAATTTATAACTACATATATTCATAACATATCATACTCAGCAAGAGCAGTAGGTTAGGACAGTGTGCTGGACTATTCTCAGTGCTTGATATTAAATTATACATGTAAAAATCTTCTGAATTTGAAAAATTTGCCAGAATACAAATTAGAATTATTGGCCTTGAACAGAGACCTCCTATTATGCAAAAAGTTTGTGAAGTTTCAAACCATAATTCCCCTCAGGAGTTATTGAGATATTATATAACTTGCAAAAACTTAACATAAGTATGACACTGACCCCTGGGAGAGTACAATAGCTCACCATATTCTTCGTAATAGTTAAGCTAAAAATGTAAATATATAATACATATATAAAGAATGATAAAACATTTTTATAATCATTGAACATTCACTTCAGGGAAGAATATAATATCATAACCATTTGAATTTACAATTTATATGAAACAACATATTTAAACAGTCATAATTTATTAAATTATTTTAACAGTCATAATTAAATATAAGTGTTTTATGTACTTACCACGGGCTCCAATTTTGGAGCTATTGGAATATTTGCTTTTTTGACCTGTGTTTGTGTCACTCTGTTGAATCGTAAGACTCTGGGATTTATTGATGCTTGCTGTGGAGCATAGGAATATAATCTTGCTTTAAGTTGCTCTGGATCCACAGCTTTGAGGCCAGCCAGGGGTCCCCATGATTACTTCATTCATCTGACTGTCTAAGGAGGCCCCAGTTTGACTATTAGCTGCACCATTTATCCCGGCCATTCATCTGGCCATTAAGGCTCTGACGAGCCAGAGGTTGTCCGTAGGACATCTTTCCTCCCTGCTTTTCTGTCTGTCAATAGATAAGTGAAAATTAAAAAAAGCTGTTACATAAAACCTTAACATTTGGATTTTTATTAAACACTATAATGCTTTACTAATTTAAGTGTACATGAGTCTTAAATACAATATATTTCTGCTTATTCTAACCTAATTGTTGACAACATGAAAGTCCCTATGGTTCATTAATTCTTAATGTTGAAAAAGTCCATTAATCATAATGTTCTAGCATAATGGACATCTGATGAGACTGTCAGTCTTGGAACAATATTAAAACAAGAGGGCCATGATAGCCCTGAGGTCGCTCACCTGTATATAGCCCCACCCCCCCCCCCCCGGCCCAATTTTTACCCAAGGGCTTTTATTTGTTTATTTGAACAGACTTGGTAGACACCCATAAGAAGATGTTTCATGCAAAACATCTAAGTTCTAGCTCATTGGGTTTTTTAAAAGAAGATTTTTTAAGTTTTTACTATACACATAGAGTAAAAAACAATGACACCCCTCGGGCAGGGCCAGTTTTGACCCCTGGGCTTTTATTTGAACAAACTTTGTAGATATTTACTTAAAGATGTTTCATGCTTAATATCTAAACTCCAGTTATTTGGGTTTTTTTCAAAGAAGATTTTTTAAGTTTTTGCTATGTATATAAGGAAAATCAATGACCCCCGGGGCGGGGCCAGTTTTGACCCCAGGGCTTTTATTTGAACATACTTGGTAGACACCCATTAGAACATGTCTCATGCTAAATATCTTAGCTCTAGCTCTTTGGGTTCTTTAAAAGAAGATTTTATAAGTTTTTACTATATGCATATAAGGAAAATCAATGACCCCTGGGAGGGGCCAATTTGGACCCCAGGGGTTTTATTTTGAACAAACTTGGTAGACATTCACTAGAAAATGTTTCATGCCAATATATAAGCTTTAGCTCTTACAGTTCTTTAAAAGAAGATTTTTTAAGTTTTTACTATATGCATATAGGGAAAATCAATGACCCCTGGGGCGGGGCCAATTTTGACCCCAGGGCTTTTATTTGAACAAACTTGGTAGACATTTACTAGAAGATGTTTTATGCCAAATATCTAAGCTCTAGCTCTTACGTTCTTTAAAAGAAGATTTTTTAAGTTTAAACTATATGCATATAGGGAAAATCAAGTACCCCCCAGGGCGGGCCAATTTTGACCCCAGGGCTTTTATTTGAACAAACTTGGTAGACATTCACTAGAAGATGTTTCATGCCAAATATCTAAGCTCTAGCTCTTTGGGTTCTTTAAAAGAAGATTTTTTAAGTTTTTACTTTATGCATATAGGGAAAATCAATGACCCCCTGGGCGGGGGCCAATTTTGACCCCAGGGCTTTTATTTGAACAAACTTGGTAGACATTCACTAGAAGATGTTTCATGCCAAATATCTAAGCTCTAGCTCTTACAGTTCTTTAAAGGAAGATTTTTTAAGTGTTTACTATATGCATATAGGGAAAATCAATGACCCCCGGGGCGGGCCCAATTTTGACCCCAGGGCTTTTATTTGAACAAACTTGGTAGACACTCACTAGAAGATGTTCCATGCCAAAAATCTTAGCTCTAGCTCTTACAGTTCTTTAAAAGAAGATCTTTTAAGTTTTTACTATATGCATATAGGGAAAATCAATGACCCCCCGGGGGCGGGGCCAATTTTGACCCCAGGGCTTTTATTTGAACAAACTTGGTAGACACTCATTAGAAGATGTTTCATGCCAAATATCTAAGCTCTAGCTCTTAGGGTTGTTTAAAAGAAGATATTTAAAGATTTTTCTTTCGGTTGCCATGGCAACCAGAGTTCTGCATGGAATTAAATTCTTTGAACAATTTTTAAAGGTGACCACCAAAGGAACATTCCTGTGAAGTTTGGATGAAATTGGCTCAGTGGTTTATGAGGAGATGTCATTTAAAGCAAAAGTTTACGGACGGACGACGGACGGACGACGGACGGACGGACGCCGGACGAAAAGCGATCACAAAAGCTCACCCTGTCACTTTGTGACAGGTGAGCTAAAAATCATTGATTAATAATGGACTGATTAAACCTGTAGTTTGCAAATTTTTGCCAGTATGTTAAAAAAATTCTAACTTGCAAAAATTAAGTATCTTGTCAGTTTAAAATTTCAACAGAAAATCACCAATGGCTCAATGATATTACCAGAGTCAAATAGTGGTAAATAACAACAGCACAGTGCATTTTTCAACATCATTTAGCGAAAATAAACACAGTTTTACTTAAATCAGACATTGACAATGTGTAGTTATCATTAAAATCAGGGTCAAATCAGTAATTTTGGAAACCTTACAATATCCTACCGTGACCCAAATTCGGCGTTCTCCTAAATTTGGCGATAGTTTTGTTGTTCGTCATTCACGTGAGATTTCAGAGGTGAAGGTTAATCATATTTATGTCCCACATTGTATTTTTACAATTCGAGTGATTTCCTGCACTAAAGATGGAGATACGGCTGGTAAACATTAAAAATTGTGTATGACATGGAAAATATTGTGTGTTTTACTTGATGCAATTTCAAGTTTATCTATACTTTCCTCTATTTGATTGATATTGTTGCTAAAATAATTTGACAGTCTCCATCTGTTATCTTACTATTTTTACTGCTGATCTAGGTCAACATACTACGTCACAATCCCGCCAAAATTAAAAATTTACAGCAACCAATCAGAATCGCCGAATTTAGGTGACGTTTTCAGATCGTCGTTAGATTTTACATCAGCCATACAGGGCTCGACATTAACGGTTGTCCGACTGCCCGGGACAACTAAAAGTTTGGTCCGGGCAAGTTATTTTGAAAAGCACTTGTCAGACAGGGCAAGTGAAAATAAAAAGCATCATTGACAACATGCATGTACAAAATGAATAGAAATAACATTTTTTCATTTATAAACATCTTTAAAACAAAAATACACCATGAATTATTATCAATAATGTGAATATACTACGGTCATGTACATTTGTTGATATAGGAAACGGAAGCAAAAATATGAGCATGCGCCGCGGTAAGGTAATTCTCTGTTCTAATAATAGACTATATCTAATTTTGTACAAGGTAATTCCCGGGTTATGCTGTTGTTCAAATTTTGATGTTTGCATGTAAAGATATCATTGAAAATATGTAGATAATCATATTGATCTTTAAATATAATTGTTAAATAAAGTTTTTGCATTAAAAATGAATTATTGTTTAATCTAATATAACAACATTATGAACTTAGTAAACGAAGACTCGTTTACGGCTGTTGACTTGATGATTGAACGGGGAATTTCCTTACCGCGGCGCATGCTCATATTTTTCCTTCCGTTTCCTATATCAACAAATGTACATGACCGTAGTATATTCACATTGAATAAACAGATGAACCGATGTTTTAGAAAAACTACTAAATACAAAAAATATTTATGAGCTTGTTTGTTTTTCTGATTTATACATTTTTACCATTTTTAGGTCAGGACAAGTAAGTCTTAGGTCACGGGCAAGTAGTTTTAAAAACTACTTGCCTGACAGGACAACCTGATTCAAAAGTTAATGTCTAGGCCTGCCATATTTGTTTATATTTTGCAACCACTGAACAATTACATTGTTAGAAATCAACTTAAAGTAACTTTTAAATAGTTGTAGTAAAATTATATCAAGTATTATTATAGATTACTGTAGTTTATTGAAAATGCCAATGACATTTGTTCTTCTATCGCCGAATTTAGGTTACACCGGGATATTTATTTACAAAATCCCTATTTTTGATGTCAGAAGTTGATTTTCCTTCTTTGTTTATTGCAAATTCTAAAATCTCCCTCTTTTAGAAGAAAAATCTCCCACTTGATCATCGAAAAAAGTTCACAGGTATGATTTGGTCGTTAACAATAACTGTATAAATCATACAAAACTTCTCATCAGAAATCTGTTAAATTTGTCAGGACAGTCATGATGCAACTTGGGAATGACATAAGAACCTATGAAAGGAAACAACAAAACATATCTGATCTGTTGTCAGATTTAAATTTTATATTTGTCGTCCGAAAACATGTTGAGCAACAGTAAAACATATATGCTTTATTTACCAAGACTCATGTGTAAGTTTTTGCATTTTCAGTAAAATTTCACTTGATAAGTTGATTATCAATAACAGATATAAACACGAATTTAAGAAGAAAATAGAATACGACACATAATGTAACACTCTACGTTTGTATAGAATGACAATAACTAAACTCTTACCCTAGAAATTAAGCTCGATTTCTTTTATAAGATCTTTAAACATAAAAAATATCCTGAAAGATTTACGAACATAAATCCGCCATGATGGTAAACATCACTTGGCAACAAGTCCGTAACGGAATGGCGGTATAGTTAATTATGATTGGATGAATATACGATCGGGTATTTCCGTAGCAGGTGCGCTTATGCTTTACTACGCGACAAAATTATTTTCCACTGTCCTAATTTACCAAACTGTGGAAGATTTGTTTAATTCACAGGAACCCGAAATTCTATCCAAAACAAAAAAATAACGATTTAAAAAAAATCCCATACATATACTATAAAAAAAAACTTATAGTATATGTATGGGATTTTTTTAAATCGTTATTTTTTTGTTTTGGATAGAATTTCAGGTTCCTGTGTTTAATTCGAAAATAATTGGGGTATTTTATTTTTATTTGAAATATTTTTGCATAAAAGGCACAATGAGTGTTTATAAATTACAATTATTTAACAAAATAGAATTAATTTATGTATTTTGAATGTAATATCTTATAATGAAAGTTTTTTAAAAATACACTTCATTGTCAAATGTTTTGAAAGATTACATGCCGGAGATATGCCTGAGAATGAAA